TGCCTTACCAACTCGAGAGGATGGGTGGCTGGATCAGTGAAGATACTGGGAATCATTTTAAGAACTATGCTGATATCTGCATGAAATACTTTGGAGACAGGGTAAGTCAAACCAAACTTATACCAATAGAATAGAAGTAAGAAATAATAAACAGTAACCATAAGTTGCTTTTATTCGCGCTATTTACACTCTCGAGGATATTTGTTTTATTGGCAATTATAGCATCTCCATATTTTTGCATAAAGTAGAGATATATTTTATTTATTGATAACTCTCGTGATAGAAATCATGTAGTCAATATAGTAAAGCCCATAATTGCATATTCTACATAATAAAGATATGTTAACTAACATGATTTTTTTATTAGTTGTTATTGGCTTTGAACAAGTGTTCAGTAACAGCGAGTACTCTCAAAACTGTACTTTGTGTCTTTATTGTTTTGATAGTTGATTTTGCTTTGTATCGATATAATGAGTAAAGCCCCTTTCAACTTATGTTATTAGTTTGATATTGTGTGGTGCTGTTACACCACTGTCCCAGGTAAAGGGGGAGGTATGGGCGCTTGCAAACATGTTTTACTCCGTTACATTCTGTATGTGCTTGTCTCAAGTCAGGAGCCTGTAATTCAAAGGTTGTCGTTTGTTGCTGTATATAATATTTGTTATTCGTTTACTGTTTTGAACATAAATCAGACCGTTACTTTTTCTCGTTTGATTTGTAATGTCGAATTTTATTTATATCAAATAATTAATAGGAATGTAAAAAGGAAGAAGATACCAAGGCGCTATTAAAAACATACAACTTTAAACATTCGGTATCAAATCTATTATCAATTATACATTTAATTATTGACAAAAAGTTTTGTTACAGACGAAATGCATTTTAAACCAGTACGATTAATATTTAATTGCACGAGATCTTGTAACGATACTGTTTGAAGTATGTAAGCTAGGTTCCATTGCGTTTGATGTTTGTATGTGCGTGTAATAATTTGGTGTGTTGAAGTGATGAATCAATACACTACACCCATTATTTTCCATGATATACATAAAAACTATACCACACAAGTGTTGATCGAATTAAAACATATTTGATAACATAGGCTGATGAGAAAAATAAAAGAAACGAATACGTTTGTCCAGAGGACCGATCATGAATTGATGGGGTTGTTTTTATAAATCAAAAAAGTTTATAAGTGAAGTTTATATATATTCCTTGATATCGAAACGTCGAAAGATCTTTCAGATAAATGATTTCACCTGTTTCATTTTTTTCAAAAGATAAACTTTTTATACTATTATCATTCAACAATACCACTAGTTACATACCTTCGACAAAATAACGACCCAGGAATATTCTGAAATGCAAGGCAATGTGTACCTTAAAGACACAACCTAGTTTTTATTTTATTTACTTAACAAAACAATTAGGAAGATTGAGTAGAACATGAATATCAAAAGGAGACAGTAACAAAAAAGCTGGAAACTATTAAAAGCAATGATTTATGCCATACGGTGGACTATAATTGCTTACACTCACTCCATTTGAACTCTGGTGGATAGTTGTCTCATTGGCAATCATACTACATATTCTTATTTTTATATACTTAGAATCGGGTAAACATAGATATATATAACTCGAAAGCGGTCAAATTTCTCAAAGTAAAATCCTTTAACAATGTTACGAAAGAAAATAAAATGAGTACAAGTTTTCACAAATACAATCTAAAGAAATCCGTTTAGATCTGTAGCACAGACGCAATTAACGAAAAAGACTGTAAACACAAGTAAAACAGGAAACTATTTGTTAGATAATTCTTGGCTTAGTTATTTTTCTTTGAGTAAACATTTTTGTTTTTAAAATATTCATCAATAAGTATCAATTATGATCAAATAATTGTAATTAAAACAAAATGTCAAAGTCGCTTGGTACTTAAATGGCTTCATTGTGCCAATAAATATATCCTTTGCATGATTAAAATTTAATAATTTTTCATTTATCAAGGCTTATGAACAATTTCCTAAACTTAAAAATTAATATATGTAATAAAAAGAAAATATTTCAAGATCTTTCTCTTATATATTCAAACAATTGTCAACAAATTATTTGTGACTTTTTGTCCTGTGACTTTTTGTCCTATCAAATTTGTGACTTTATGTCCTGTGACTTTGTGTCCTGTGACTTTCTGTCCGTTTACCTACACGTATAACTAACAACAAAATTATTTCATTTACCTGTGTTTAAAGTAATTGCAATTGGCTGATATTTTTGTTCGAGCATATTGTTTTTCTTATATTGTTTAACATTTCATAGCGGTATAACATGTTACTTGTATTATTCTTCCCTTAGTTTATATATTTTGTATTTACATTGTATCATAGGTCAAATTTATTTGTTCAGTGTATGTTCAGGGGTGTTAATATGTCCTTTGATTGAGTTAAGCTATTTCAGTTGATATTTTATAGTGTGTCTTTCTATGTTGTGATGTTACACTATTGTTTCAGAAAAAGGGTGAAGGTTTGGTACCATTAAAACGTTTAAACCCGCTGCAATCGTTTGTACCTGTCCTAAGTCAGGAATCTGGTGTTCAGTAGTTGTCGTTTGTTGATGTGGTTCATAAGTGTTTTTCGTTCCTCGTTTTTTATATAGATTAGACCGTTGGTTTTCCCGTTTCAATGGTTTTACACTAGTAATTTTTGGGGCCCTTTATAGCTTGCTGTTCGGTGTGAGCCAAGGCTCCGTGTTGAAGACCGTACTTTGACCTATAATGGTTTACTTTTATAAATTTTGACTTATGGATAAATACAAGGGAAGATCTTTGATCAGTTTTTATTTATCAAAGCCTTGTTTGATACACACTCATTTATATATATATATAAGTGTCGAAAGTCTTCATTATATATACTATTTCAAGCATTGGTCTTACTTATATATAATGAAACGCTCTGTTTTAGGTTTATAATAATGGTGTTTCTTCGAAAGATCAAACATTCTTTTATAAAACCGTGTACATGTAATTAAATGAACTTGTATGCATTTAGGTAACTAAATGGATAACAATAAATGATCCATTGAGAGTGGCAACAAATAATTCTGCACCTGGTAAACCTGTGAGCTATATTGCTGGTAAAAATCTTATGCTTGCCCATGCCGCTGTATATCATCTGTACAACAAAACATATAAAGCACAACAAAAAGGTAAGAATAATTATTGATATGTATTGTACTTTCTTTCATTTACCTTCCCTATAATGAGATTCTAAACATCATACATGTTTTTGAACAGACGTGGTTCGTCCATTATATTTTTTATCTTCTACCATAGACTGTTTTCATACAACTATTTTAAGATCGCTTCATAATAAAGTTTACACTAGGCATTTGAATAAAGTGATACGTTTCGTTTAACTTTCAAATAAGAAATTATATATTTTTCGTGACACTCAGTTTAAAATTTTCCTTAACAAGACGTAAAAGAGATACAAACTGTTCGATTAAAGAGGTTTTCCCGGGTAACATCAAAATTTTCCTTTCGTTTGATTTTTCTAATATATACAAAATTGTTTGGGTATCTAGGACGTCCATATATTATCAGACGAAGCTGTGTTGAATTTCATGTTGTATTTTACGTTTAGGGTACACGCAGTTGGAAACTTAGTTTCTTTATAACTTCGAAAGTTATTTACAGAGAACTTCATAATCATGGAAGTTAAATTCAATTATTATATTTCATTATAATTAGATGTTAACACAAAAATAAAATATAAACACGTGTGCTATATTGTCACTATCAACAATAACGGATATTTCCAGGAATGGTCAGTATTGCATTAAATACAGAGTGGTTTGAACCAAAAAATCCGAATAACCCACAGGACATACAGGCTGCAGAGCGAGCCCTACAGTTTAATCTGGGGTGGTTTGCAAATCCTATTATTAAAAATGGAGACTATCCAGACTTAATGAAAAGTGGTCATGAAAATTCTGAAAAATTGCCAAGATTAACAAGGCAGGATTCAAATATTCTTAAAGGTTTGATATTGAAATTATAGTATCTTCTTTATTGACAGGAACATATTGCAAAACTTCTACCATGCACAGTTTGATTGAAGTAAAAAGACAAAATTTATTATTTTATTTATTCTATGTCAATGCATACAGTATATTCACGTATACTTGGACATGATACTCTCTTACAGAAATGTATGTTTTCAAATATGGAAATAGATCACAGGATCTCCTTTCTATCATGTTGTATACTTATGTCATTAAAAATAAATTTTAACTTATGTAATTGAAAATACAAATTTAAACAAGCAATATATACACATAGATTTGACCAAATATGATTTCCAAAAATAAACGCATCTTTGGAATTTTTTAATTTGACATATTAAATCAGAAAACATTTGGTCGGAAAAAAATATTTTTGGAAAAAGCCCTACAAACTTCGAAAGTCATCTTTTCTCTCTTATAGTTTTGCTACTAATTGCTCATTATAAATTTTGTAATTCAACAGGAACTGTAGATTTTTTGGCTGTCAACACATTCACTGCCAAAACTGTTGCCCCTGAAAATGAGTTTGATGTTAGCTATAGATCGGATTTTGATAAAGACGTTGGAGTGAAAATAGATATAGATCCTAAATGGAAAGGGTAATTTATTAAGCATCATATAATATATTGTGTCACCTACTTATATCTATGGGAATGGTAAATGTAAAAAGAGACTTGAACATTAAGTTTTGCATGATTAAATGTCGGACATTACTGTTTAATATATTTTTTTGTACCCTAGTAATTACTTTTTGCTATAATCGGAGAATCCTTTCCCTTTTATTTTTATCATTTTGTCAGTTCTCTACTGAATATTTATTGTTGATGTAAACGTGTGAATATTTAATTATTTTGAAATACAGTTGTTTTCACAAGATGTGACACTTTTGCATCTTTTTTGATAATTTCATTATAATACAGAACATGTAAGGCAGATCTTAAAGTAGCCCCTTGGGGTATTCGGAAGTTACTAAACTGGATTAACTACAACTATAACATACCAGTACTGGTTACCGAGAATGGTATGTGTGATAACGGGAAAATAAAGGACCTACAAAGAATTGATTTTTATAGGCAATCTATCAACGAAGTTTTAAAAGGTAGAGTATTTTAAAAGGCTGCTCTAGATTTTAGCAACGATTGAAACACAAAAGCCCTTGATGTTACACTTGTTTAAATTACATACTAATAAACTAAATATAATATTATAATGCTAACTTGCCAACTGGTTCGACTTATATGAAGGCAAATACGAATTTTCTGCAATTTGATACTGTGATATTCCAATTGAAAAACAAATCATTACAAAAAAAGGATACGATATAATACGGACATATTTATAAGAAAAATAGTTTCATTAGCCAGTATCCCAAAGGTCATTTTAACAAAGTCAACTCTATTGCACTTAAATTTAAACACAAAAATAACATTTGCAATGGCAGATATTTTAAATGTCTTCACTGCGAATTATCTGACAAATCATAGTCATTATGAAAACAATATTAAACAAGATATTGGACAATAACAAATATATCATACATTAGCATTTTAAAAAAATATTTTATCTGTATTTAATATTTTTTTCTTCAGCAATTAAATATGATGACTGTAATGTGATTGGATATTCAGCATGGTCATTCCTAGACAGTTTTGATTGGGAAAACGAATATAAATCGCCTTTTGGTCTCGTCAACATAGACTTTAACTCGCCTAACAGGACGAGAACACAAAAATCTTCTTTCAAATTTTATAAGCAGCTCATTAAAGAACATGGGTTTAGACCTGGCTTCCCGGGAAAAGGAGGTAGTGGGACTGCTCCAGCATATGAAAATCAATTTTATTACGACGTGTTTCCAGAGAAATTTGTATGGAGTTCTGCTACATCTGCGTATCAAATTGAAGGAGGATGGAATGAAGGAGGTAAGTTTTAATGAAAGAAATTGCTATAATATTATTTTGTCTAACTTTTCCTCCTTTGAATCTGTTGTCTGATTGTCTGAATCATACGCTGGATGTAGACTGCCATATTTCATAATGTTTCTGTCAAAAAGTTGTTTCATTTATTTCAGAGTATTTCAAAGTTGGTATTCAATATTAATATATCTTTTTTATCATAATCTTGTTATTTACAAATTTCTTTTGAGAAGACAGCACATGTCACTAACGTTTAGATTGTACAATTATACTTTATTCAGTTTTACCTTGTAGGAAGAGGACCAAGTGTTTGGGATGACTTCGTTCATTTGGGTAACACAATTGCTGGCAATGTTACTGGTGATGTGGCTTGTAATAGTTATCACAAATATAAAGATGACATAAAAATCTTGAAAGAAATGGGGGTCAGTACAATTTATTACACTTCTTTATAATTTTCATTTTAATATTGGTTCTTATATTCTTAAAGATACAATACTTGACTCTAGACTAAATTACCAGGTTGTAAAAGGTTTTGAAATGTGTTTAAATCAATGCAGTGTAAAAATGTTATGGAAAATCTTTTACTGCTTTTTAGTGTATTAATTAATACATTTCTTTCATTACTTTATCTGAATGATTTCAACTTTTGAGTATAAACGTGTCCAGGATTTGAGCACTTAGACATCACTCATTGGAGGTAACAATATATCTTAATGTAAGGAGACGTGTAGAGAAAGGACTGTCAAATATTTCTAGAAAGGAATACAACAAATGTGGAATTACAAAATTTTATTTTAGTCACAGTTATAATTCATGTGTAAATGCCTTCTACCAAATAACAAAATTAAAAAGGCAAATTCCCTTTATTAGGGATGTCCATTAAAACTTACAACAAAAAAATACCAAAAGAGAAAACGTTAATGTTGGACAATAGAAGATACTCGTTTTTCGACATGCTTTGTCAATGTTTGTAAGTTCGACTCTAAAATCATCTCATAGGTTAGCAAATATTTTAACACAATACAGTTATTCCGATGTTGCAGATAGCCACAATACGTGCTCAGTCGCGATAGCTTTTTTGTTATTTGTGAACTTCTACATTTATCAAGGAATTTTCTTGATACTCACAGGATATCTGTGTCTAAAAATAATGTCTTTTTCAGGTAAACGCATACCGGTTTTCAATATCCTGGTCTAGGATATTACCTAATGGGTTAAACTCGAGTTTAAATCAAGAAGGTATAAACTACTACAACAACTTGATTGACGGACTTATTGCGGAAGGAATCAAACCTATGGTAACATTATTCCACTGGGATCTTCCTGCTAATCTAGAAAACAAATATGGTGGATTTCTGAATAGCTCTATCCAGCAATATTTTACAGACTATGCTGAGATCTGCTTTAAAAACTTCGGTGATAGGGTGAGATTAAATTTATACTATAAATAGATTCACTTCATGTGATTGACCCTTTTTGGTGTGATAAAATAGATAAATACACATGAGTTCTCTTAGATCTGTACTTTCTGTCTTTTTTGTTTTTAGGGATGTATACATACCCTAGTACGTCAGGTCTGTGTGTTTGTTAGATTTGTTTCTGCTTTGTATCAATCCGATGAGTTAAGCCCTTTTCAACGGATTTTTATAATTTGTTCTTATATTGCACTGTTACACCACTGTCCCAGGTAAGGGGAGGGTTGGCGCATTCAAACATGTTTAACCACGCCATATTCTATTTGAGCCTGTCTCAAATCAGGAGCCTGTATTTCAGTGGTTGCCGTTGGTTCCTGTATTTCATATTTGTTTTCGCAAATTGTTTTGTTACAGATTAGGCCGTTGTTTTTCTCAATTGAATCGTTTCTTTTTTTTCATATCGGGGCATTTTACAACCGACTATACGGTATGGGTTTTTCTCATTGTTGAAAGCCGCCGTATAGTTGCCTATAATTGCTTACATCCTCTTCTTTTGAACGGTGGTGGATAGTTGTATATTGGCAATCATACCACATCTCCTTATTTTTATATACAAGCTTTCGATGTAGGCTCTTATTTAAAAATGGAACGCGAGAAGATCTTAAATAATGATTGAAAGAAGACAGACAACACCATGATCAAGAAAAACACATAAAATAACAGCAGTCCACACACCACTGTACATAAAAGCACATTTTGAAGAACTTGGACCCTACTAAAGACATCAGCGAACGCCGGAAGCGTTTTCAGTTTATGCTACTCTAATGACATTTGAAAACTATATTAATTGCTGTACATTCAAATTTGATATCATAATCATTTTACATTTCTGGTTGTTTAATTTTTGACTACTTGGCGATTGGTATTACAAGGCATATCTCTTGTTATCCAAAATGAGTATCATATGAAAAAGATAAGAAAAATACAACATCAGTAAAATAGTACAGCAGAGAAATATACTTCATACAGTGCCATACTTAATAATAGTAAAACTGTACACAAAAAATGTGACTCGAAAGGACGTTTCCGTAAAAACAGACTGAAAATACTTGAAATTTATTTCGGAGAGCTGAATCTGTTCAGGATTTCTTTGAGTCTTCTATCCATCTAAAGTGAAAATCTCAAATACATGTATATTCTTTTGCTTTTGAATTTAAAGTGATTAAGATTGATTCAGTAAAGCCATTCGTGCACAGTACAATGCATCCTTGTAACTTATAATTATAAATGCAACACATCCGGACAACTGTTAAAGGATCTTTATTAAATAATGAGTAAAATAATATAACCTTGTAAGAATGCATATAAAGTATAGAAACTTTCATATTTATAGATTTTTTTGTATATTAAGTAAACTATACATCTTCATTTTTAAATTTTAAAGCTGCTTTGTCTTTTTGGCATAACCGTTAAAATCTAGTCATGAAGTCTCCTTTATTGATCAGGTGGACAAAAGGTTAAATTTCAAAACGGGGAAAATCAAATATGGATAACTTCAAGGTATATTCGGATATGTTTTGTTTATATATGGTATCGATTTGCGAGTTGTTATCGTTTGAAAACTTGTTACTTTACTGTTATAGTCCTTTCATGTCCAAAGTATGTGTGATTGCGTAATTATTCTGTCCCAATAGCAATGAGGAAGGCATTCTTGAATCAATAAAATAGATATTCGGTAGATATGCATATCATAAAAAGTAACATATTACGCTTTGGTTTATCTTTGGGTGAGTTATTTTTCGCAGAAGTTGAAAGACTATGATATAGAAATAAGCCTGAAAATACCATTTTTGGGGCTTATTTCCTTAATTCCTGAATCGATTAAAAATATATTATGTATACAGTCATATTATTTGAAGTGAAAACTTAATTTGAGTTGTTCCAGATGAGCAATTTTTTCAGGAAGTTGTGGCCTTTTGACCTAGACAACTGATAGACAATATAAGGTTTTTGATGCTTTTCAACTTTCCTTAATTTTTCTTTCAGCTTTTTTTTTTATTTAAGCACGACGAATGAGTCTTATGTAGACAAAACGCGCGTCTGACGTAACACAGTATAAGCCATGTTATCTTTGAGGAATTTTTCTATGAAAAAATAACTTTGTTCCTCAGGGGTAGGGTTAGGTTAGCAGTTATTGAAAATATCTGCGTTTTTGAATGAATATTCTGACCGAATAATGATAAGATGGACATTCTACACTACGTTTCCAGTAACAACTGTTCATTAGTACGAATAAGAAATTAGACAAACCTCGTTCCAATCAAATTTGTGTCCAATATAGGGCCATTGTTTGGTTATTAATACCCTGATAATGATTGATTTTCTGTGGTATGTCTTTTTGCCAGGTAAAGCGGTTCAGTCTACTTACTAGTAATTATTGCATATGAATGAAAAACCTTCAAATGAACCAAAATGACAGAAACATTAGATTTTATACAATATGTTTCATGATACAAATAATATTGTTCCTGCCTTTTAAAAGGTCAAATTATGGATTACATTTAATGAACCATGGATAACAGCCTGGACTAGTTATGGTGAAGGCGGATTCCCTCCTGCCAAACACGGAAAAGGCACAAACACATATATTGCAGCTCACAACATCATATTGTCACATTCAAAAGCATACAGGCTATATAAAAGAGATTGGAGTCAACAAAATGGTTCAGTATTTTATGTTGCTTTGAAAAAAAATTAAGAACAACAGTTTTATTCCAATCTTTACATATTTGCCTAATTTTGGAATTTTGGAATATATTAAACAGTTTTAATGTTGTTGCCTATCTAAGCTTGGTTTAATAGTCAGTATCATTTTGACTAAAATGGTACAATTAGGCACTGTATGAATCTGTGTTATCTATTGTTTAAAGAAATTTCTCATTGAAATAATTATAGTTCCTTATTTTATATGTGGCCACGTGTATGTTTAATCATCTTAATGTGATTTTTTTATATACAACATTTCAAATTAGAGAGGAAATAGTCTGAATCAACATATTGTAAATGTACTTATCGTTACGTAAAGCTTTCATTATAATTTTAAAGAAAACTAAGACACTGTTCATTGAAATATATTTCTATGTTAGGCGAGGTTGGTATTACACTAAATGTTGGTTGGGCTGAGCCAAGAAACCCGTATAATCAAGATGATATAGAAGCTTCTGAACAAGCATTGATGTTTGATTTTGGATGGTTCGCAAGTCCAGTAGTGTATGGTGATTATCCCGATTTAATGAAATGGAGTGTGGGAAATAATAGTCAAGTCCAAAATATGTCCTCATCAAGACTTCCTGAATTTACAGCAAGTGAAAAACTTTTAATAAAAAGTGAGTATGCATTAACAACCTTTTCTACTATAGAATTTATTAAACATGGAAAACAGCATGAACTAATTTTGAAGATGACGTGAAGTGTTTACTTTTAGGGGTCTGCAATACGAAAACAGGCAAAAATGGGCAATGCTCATATTTGTATACTTATGCAAATAATAAATGTTTAACATTATTACAAAAAGTAAAACCCTGACGGGTTAAAATGCAAACATTAGATGTACATAAAAAACTTACAACACATGAAAGAAGTTCTGAACAAGTCAAGTTAATATGGATATATATTTCTTTCACAAATCCCTAAACTCTCTTAAGAAAACAGCACATTTGTTCTTCGTCGCAACATTACAGTAAGGCTTTCAACATTGAACAAAACCTCACACTTCAGGTGTAATAAAAAAATTAATTGTAAATGACAATTTGGAAAGAAATTTAGAAATTACTAGATTTTAGACAACCACTAGGTACATCACAATTAGTTTACTTGACATGAAATAATGAATGAATATGATAAACCATTTGGAAGTACTGCATAACACGTTTAATACACAAACTGGCAGAAAGAAAGTTAGTGAATTAATTTACAAACGAGAAGTTCCATTCATTAATATAAAAATACATATATAATTGTTTCACCTCAAATAGGACGGAATGTAGTGTACTTCGTGTATTAATTTTTTAATTTGAAATTCTGCCTTTTCTATTTGAAACAAGACTTTTCCTGTTTTCTCTTTCAGACAGTACTGATTTTCTCGGATTGAATGCCTATGGATCAAGTCTAATGTTCAAAGAACAATTTGATATAAAAAATGATATAAGTTACTGGGTAGATAGAGGGGTTGGTTCAGCTACAGATCCAAGTTGGCTTGGGTAAGTTAAGATTTGTCAAAATGTTTTTGATCGACATATATATCTTTTCTCAGTCAATGAAAAAAGTAGTAGAAGAAGTTATAATATATTATATAACTTTCTTTGTGTGGTTGAGATGAGATGTAATTCTGTACAATTAAACAGTGGATTGATTTCAAATATCAATCCTGATTGAACATGCCAATCTGTCATCTGTCATGAAAGAATTTCCATGTTTTCCAAGACAAGTGTCATGAGTTTGTCAAATTGCTTACATCTTCAAATACCCTAGTTTTTCAACGTTCTTTTTGTCGTTTTATTTTGTGGTTCTTTCTAGCATTTTGTAATTATGTGTTGCCTGTTTTCTAATTTCCCTTTCTTAGGTATCTTCTTACTTTATTTATAAATGAATTGAGCTTTGATATTCAGACACATATAATTATAGATCAGGGTCAAGTTGGTTGTGGGTGACACCATTTGGATTACGTAAGCTTCTAAACTGGATAACTGAAACCTACAACTACCCTATCTACGTTACAGAGAACGGCGTTTCGGACAGAAATGGATCACTGAATGATGTACATCGTGTAAACTATTATAGATCATACATAAATGAAATGCTTAAAGGTATTTATAAATGAATATACTGTTTGTATAAAATACAAATGTATGATTAAGTTGTCAGTCAGACAGCACCCGATGTAAACAACACCAAAATAAATGACAACAAATACAGGTAGGGTAAAATGTGTTGTTGTTTTAATCATTAAACATAAATGTTTAAATAAAAGATAGCATTAGACTAGATTCGTTCAATCTATTTCAATTGTTGATGTTTTTATATCATTTGATACTAGATTAATTTACTCAAATGACATTTAGTATTGTCTTTGGCGTGACTGATGCTTACACATTGCATCTGTGTTCATTGAAACAGTATTATTTTCATTTAGAAAATTGAGATATTGGCATTTTTCAGAGATTATATTTGATATGAATTAAAAATACATATACAAAATCATGAATCATATCTGTCGAATCTTATGTTCGCCTTTTATCAAAGGTATGCTTAATGAAATTGAAAATTGAAAAATACCAGATTTTTTTCTTCTTCTGTTTTTAAAATGTGTGCTTATTCTAATCTTTCATTCTTAGACGTCATCGATTTAGGGCGCGCGCAAATACATCAGAAACGCTTAATTGATACTTAATGTTTGGGAAGCTAAATTTTCATAATAGATCTTTACATAACAGTAACAACTATCTAGTGTTCAAATGTATAGCAGTTGCACACTTATATAAGTACAAAATTAATCGAAGTTTGTTTAAATCTAACAGCAATCAAATTGGATGGGTGTAAAGTTAAAGGATATACAGCTTGGTCATTGATGGATAATTTTGAATGGAGGCAAGGGTTCGTTGAAAAATTTGGATTGCATTATATTGATTTTAACGACCCAAACAGAACCCGAATTCCAAAGCTGTCATCATTATTTTATTATAATCTGATTAAAGACCATGGTTATTTGGAAAAGGCATTCACGGCACCAGGAGGGCTGCCAGTGATTGAATATGAGGCCACGATATATTATGGAAGTTTTCCAGATGACTTTGCCTGGGGTGTCAATACAGCAGCTTATCAGATAGAAGGAGGTTGGGATGCAGATGGTAAATATAGATATTCGTAATAATATAAGGTTGATTTATTTATTTGCCTTATCTGAATTTAAACCTTATAGATAAATCTATATTTTTCTACTAAATCGAATTTATAACTGAAGAATATTTTAACAACGAAATTGTGTCATTATTCCATAGATTGCATTTTATGGAAAAGTCACTGTGTTATTTCATAAATTTTCTATATTCGATTCTAGAATAAAAATTCAGATGTCTACCTAACCATTTAAAGTATAATTCACAATTTTATATGAACAAAATAAGATGTTGTTTATAGGTCAATTAGAATACACACATTTTTTTAACACATCTAAGAGTAAAACATGAGGTGAAAGATATTAAAAAAATCGCATTAAGGTCTAGACAATTTGTAAATCAGACATAATAAAAGATTTTTTCATAACACAACACTCCCTAAAGGACGACGTCAACGACAAAATAACGACCAGGCTTAGTTGATTATGTATCTAGGGGATACTGTATTCATTGTGTACTACTGAATTATCATGATTGTAGCTATACATTTTTTTTTACATTTTCTAGGGAAAGGACATAGTGTCTGGGATGATTTTACTCATGCTGGAAAAGCAATAAATGGCGACACCGGCGATATATCAACAGACAGTTATAGATTGTTTCTAAGAGATGTACAGTTGTTAAAAGATCTAAATGTATGTTCTTGTGTTTCAACAGACTGATTTAAAATTTTTACAAATTGTTTATTTATTTATTCTGTTAACTGCATTGTCAGTTTTTAAATTCACAAAGTCGAGAATTGAAAATAAAAAACGTATGAAGTATTTGCTAATGCTGAAATATATGTGTTTCTATTTCAAATATAATATATTATTTTGTTATTAAGGTCATGAAATTGCATCCTAGACGTTTAAACTAGTTGTGGGTGATTGTATTTCTAATTGTTTCCATTGTCCACAATGGTCTAAACTCGTCCACAAGCATTGCAAAAACACTGATTCTCAGCAAATCGGGACCATTTGCCAAAATTATACTTGGACAATAAATTTGTCTAAACCAACTTTTAATAATGCTCAAATGATTCGTATATATATATTTTGAAAGATTCCACAGTTGTTGATCTTAGCTCTTACTGTGAAAATAATATCGTGGTCAAGACTATGGGTCACTGTTTTCCACATGACAGATACGTGACCGTCATGTCTTATTTCCTTAGCAAACGAATTTTCATACAAAGTGACATTGCTTTAATATTTTCCTCCAAAACTATTCTAGAGGTACATAAGATGCAATTAATAATCATAAATCTTGGGGATAGACTCTGAAAAGTTAATGAATTGTTTCGGAATCCATATCTTGATTAAATTTAACTGTGAAGACAAAAACATAACAAATAGTTGTTCTTAATAAAATATGTATCAAGATATTAATCCAAATATGTTTAAATATCAATTATCAACAACTGTACTTGTTAATTTCATATATTTTTTCAAATGTTTATATATCTTATCTTTTTTTTTCAACTTGGAAATAAACAGATCACGTATCTGTTGAGAAGACGATTTTGATATTGAAAACTCTGTTATATCGGTTCTGGAACTATTAATTATAAATAAACTTTAAATATATAATATTTGAAATCAAAGAAGTGAGCGTAATGCTTAAAACTTGAATGAAACAATAGAATATAAGATGTAACGTATCTGTTCAAGGCATGCAACAAATACGTTACCATAGGAAACAAATACGTTACCATAGGAAACAAATACGTTACCATAGGAAACAAATACATTACTTAATGTTTGCACCCTGAATTACAATACTTTAACATTATTTTTATCCTGGTACAAAATTCAAATGTCTTATTCCTATCTGTGTGTTAAAATATCTAAATTAACATATTAGCGAAAAATATATTAAAATATCCAGTTAAAAGTACAATTACCAAATTTGACGTTGTCCTCTTCGCAAATTGCAGCTCATTACTTGTTGTACTGATGATATTATTCATTGATCATAAAACAAAACAAAAATGTATTAAGGCAGATAGCTCATATGTCTGAATACCGAAATGATATCGATAAATCATCGTTAATCGAAACATAGTAACGTATCTGTTGGTACTGTATCTGTTTAACAAACTATTCTTGGTTCATTATTTCAAATATGTTTCTAATAACAGGACATTTTTCACTGTTGAAAAGGAAGATCAAATATGTTAAAACATATTTATGCAGTTAAATAGATCCCGTGCAAGTGGTTAATTTTTATGCAAAGGATTCCACAGTAACGTATCTGTTCAAAATTAATGTACAAAAGCAATTTCCCAGTTAAGTAGCTTATGAATTTTCCAAATTGTTATAAATACACATCAAATAATTTTGTTTTTGGTTACAACTATGGACTAACACTTCAAAAGCAACATAGTTATTCTTTCAATTGACCTTTAGATAAATGAAGAGTTTGATTAAAAGTTGGTAACGTATCTGGTCAAAGAAATAGTGACATATAATCTCAAAACTGTGTTGGTTTTTTTTATGACAAACTACTTAAAATGATATAAATATGGACTGGCAGAATGGTGAAAGATCGGAAAAGGCAACATAAGTACATGTTTTGCAAGCTTCTTAAGTCAAATACTCAACAGGAAAAAATATCCATACCACCAGGGACATTCGTTTTATTCAAAATAATACGTTTTTGTGTGAGGCTGGAGTAGTTTTGATATTCTTCTACTTGGAAATTATGTTAGTTTTAGCTAGATATCTCCTTTGATTTTCAAAAACATATTTTTTTTGACATTTTAAAGCAGACGAGGCTTTAAATATCTACAGGGACAACAAATCAAGTATTGGACCCGATTTCCTGAGAATGAGTAAATAATCCCAATGATAAATGAACGAGCGCTTGAAATTAAAAGAAACCATATTCTAAGTGTTCATGCAAAAGTATTTTATAGATTAATGTGCAAGTCTTTAAAACCATAATGCAATTTATTTTTGCTTTTTATTTCATAGGTGAGTCACTACAAGTTTTCGTTAGCATGGTCACGTATACTCTCAAATGGTACTATTCAATCGAAAAACGAAGCTGGAATAGAATATTACAGACAGCTGATTGATGCTTTAATTGATTCAGGAATAGAACCTGTAGTGACACTCAATTATTGGGACCTACCACAAGCGTTACAAAATTCTGGTGGATGGCTCGACAACCATACTGTCACATTGTTCAACGAATTTTCACGGCTGTGTTTTGAAGAATATGGAAATAGGGTATGTATTTAATTAATTTTATGTAAGGTGTTTTTAACTGAGACGAAGTCACATCATAGACAAAACACACAAAAAAATAAAAAAACACACAACATAATTTGAATAATAAATTTTTATTTTACCATTCATCGGAGATGATATATATATATACTCATCATTCAACACTACAATGTTATTCAAAATTTATAGCTATACATGCCTTGCCAATACTACATTCAGTTCAGATATATATTGACTTTAAATAAAATGGGTAACTAGTTGTTCCTTATAAAAAGAAAGGTTAGACGGTCTAGTCATTTATAATCGATAAAGGGATCGACCTGAGACTCGTTTTGTTCCGTTCATTCATTTTGTAAAATTATACCGACTTGCTGCTTTTTATTCATTTCTGGTAGGTAGATATGCACATATTTCATGACACTACACATGAGAGAGAAGAATGAACGGATATAATTTGAAATTTTAGCTTAGCCATAAATTGTTCAATCTAATGAAAAAAAAATGTACTTGAAAAGTAATTTCTGTATGATTATGTCAAAATTTCATGACTAGCTTCACAAAATTTAAAAAACACACACACAATAATACTGGAAATACAATGAGAAAGGATTGTGAAAACAGGAAATCACATAATAATAACAACCTACATAATGGTTGATTATATGCCATGCAATATCAGGAGTCCTGCTTATAAGTGATGCAGAATATCAAAAGATTTAAACAAAGGAGTAGCTGAAAGTATCATCATTTTGCTTGACATAGGGAAGTCATAATATATGTACTTTGCAAGAAAAATATATACCAAAAAAGAGAAACAAATCTGATCCTGTGTAAAAGAAAACCACACACGCTTTCTAACATTCTGATTTTTTTTTATATTGTGAATGTCTAATTATTCAAATTGGCATATGTTCTAAGAATATGATATAATATATTCAAGGTTTTGCACTAATTTAAATACATAGTCGTAGTAAAGTTTTGTACTATGATCAAATGCAAAACAAAATCTTCCTTGTCTCTGTATTCTAGACTTCAGAAGTATGATTTACAGTGTTTGTCTTTTTATTGATTTTTTTTCTTCTGTTATGAATTTAAAGGTTAAGATGTGGATAACAATTCATGATCCTAAACTATTAGCTTATGAAGGGTATGAGACGGGATATTTCCCTCCATCTGTTGGACATAGAGATGGAATAGGGGTCTACCTTGCTGCTCACAACCTGCTCAGAGCTCATGCTGCAGTATATAGAACGTACCAGGCTATGTTTAAGAAAAAACAAAAAGGTTAGTTGACAAAATAGTCATGCTGCAGTATATAGAACGTACCAGGCTATGTTTAAGAAAAAGCAAAAAGGTTAGTTGACAAAATATTCATGCTGCAGTATATGGATATCAACAATTGGTGAATGGAAAAGCATAATTTTTATTTGACAATAAACACGTTTGAACACATCACAAAACTTTAAAAGTTAAAATAAGGTTTTATTTAGTTAATTTACTGAACGCTAATGAAATGTTATTGGATTTGGTGTAAATTCATCTATCTAGATGTAGACCACTTTGGGTCCCCAATATGACATTTAACAATGAGCAAACCCCATACCGTATACTCAGCAATACAATGCATTGAAATGACAAAATGTGAAACAGATCAAACTAGGAAACAAACGACCGGATATATGATAAAAAACGAAAAACAAATATTACATTCAGCACAAAAATGACAACCACTTAATTACATTCTCCTAAATTGTGACAAGCACATAAAGAAATAGGTTTATAAACATAGAATCAATCATATTTCATTTTACCAATTTGAAAAAGCCGTTTAAAAACTTGATACAAACAATTAAGATTGTGAATTTATTAAAATTCGAATAATTTGCTATCGAAACAGGAAATAATTTTTCTTGAGTTTCTGGCATGGTGTAGTTGATGACACACGTATATTCTTTTTAATAGGTAAAGTGGGAATAGCATTAGGGACAAAATGGGCTGACCCTCTAAGGATGTATAGTCCAGGCGATTGGGATGCCTCCGCAACTGCTATGGCATTTGACTTAGATTGGTTTGCAAATCCTATTTTTGGCGATGGAGATTATCCTGCACAGATGAAATCAAGTGTAAATAAAAGCAATAAGATTCAAAGACTTCCATCATTTTCTGAACATGAGAAGGAGTCTTTAAGAGGTAAGATTAAATTACAGTAATGTAAAGGCCATTTGGATCTTAAAATCATTGGCACTCATACCACATCTTTTTATTTCTAGTATATTGCTACAGATGTACAGTTATTAATACTCATGATTCTATATCCTGTCGATACTGTTTACTTATATTTTAGACTGTTTATGACGTCTTTTACTAAATCCGTTGCATGTGGACTGATTGATTCATGAGTTTCTTTATTCATATGTCGTAGTTGGCATTGATCTAGCTTCCAGTAACTGCGAGTATTCTTATACCGGTGCTACGTGTTATTGTTTTTTGAGTTACTGTAGTTGTTTTTATGCTTGGTATGTTTCTTTTGAGTTAAAACTTTTGCACTGATTTTTAGTTTGTTCTTATGTTGTGCTGTTACACCAAGGTCCAAGATAATGAGAAGATTTGAGCACTCACAAACATGATTAACCCGCCACATTCAGTATGTGCCAGTCCCAAGTCAGGATTCGCTGATTCAGTGTCGTTGTCGTTTGTTCATATCAGTCAGTTTTGTATTTCGTAATTTTTTTTGTTATAAATTAGGCTGTCAGTTTTCTCAGATGCCGTGACCTTTCATAGCTGACTTTACGGTATTGGATTTTTCGCATTGTTGAAGCCGTATAGTGACATCTAATTGCTTACATCCACGTCATTTTAACTCTGGTGGATAGTTGTATCATTGGCAATCAAACCACATGTCCTTATTTTTTATATTTATACCAAATGAAATATTATAAATTACATATAAATCGAATATTTATAGGATCTGCTGACTTCCTAGGTCTAAATCTCTACACAGCATTAAAAGTTACACCTACGACACACGAAGGAGAGTTGAAAGGTGTACTCAAAGATGGAATGGTTGATTACTCAGCAGATACAAATTGGGAAAGGTATATAAAAATATCAACAAAGATACTGTATAATCATTTAATTAATTATCATCTATAAGCCTCTCAAATCTACGTTGTTCAAATAGGCAGAATTTGATGTACTAGCTCATTCTAACATAATTCTTATACTTAATACAAACAAAAGGAAGAAATATTTAATTATCAAATACTATTCATAGGAACAACATGTTTGGTGCTTTCAAAAGTATATGATACAACTGTCAATCCATCTAGTCTATTCGGTATACTCAAGACAGAGCTATAGGTTTGTAACTCTGTATGGGGTTCATTATCTTTATTTTTTCTTTTGATATTTCCGCAAAATGTTGCATTCTTTCACAGTTTTTATGTATAAAACTTAATGATATATAATATTTTAACGGATAACTGATTTTTTTAATAGAACGGACACGGGTTATGAATCATATGTGACGCCTTTTGCAATGAGGAAAACATTGAATTGGATAAAACACAAGTATGGAGATGTCCCTGTTTACGTTACAGAGACAGGACGATCAGACCATGATGGAAGACTTCATGATCAGCATAGGATATCATATTTCAAGAAATATATAAATGAAATTCTAAAAGGTATATCCGGATATTGTGTCATTACTATTTTCTGAAAATTTTAAATGAAAAGGTTACTACTGACCTATGTATTTTATATGTTCATATATTTGTTCATCATTTTCGCTTTTCCATGTTATTGTAACGATATTTGTATTTGAAATCTTATTTGGCTAAAGGGAATGTTTAGAAATTATTCTGATTAAAACATTAAAAAAAAAATTAAAACTCATCAAAGATACGTGCATGTCTGAATATTTGAGTTGGCAGGAGTAAACCTTTGTTCTAAACTGGACAAATTATTTGAAATCGGTAAACAAACAAGGGGAAACTTAAGGGAAACATATGTACTCGGAGTGTGAATAAGTGCTTTGAGAGGGTTTCCTTCTATGTATGTAATCTCTGAAAGAGTTTCTTTTACATATGTTTCAATCGAGGTATGACATTTTTAAGGGTCCAGTCTGATAAGGGTAATTAAAGTGTACTGTCAGATTGTAGTTTTAAATAATAACTTTCATGGAACCAGTGGTACTACAGATACGGTATAATGTATCAAATTTTCGCCTTGGGAAATCACTTAACTATCTGAAAAATAATTTTGCTCCAGGATTTTGTCAGCAAACAGTTTTTTCGTGGAAAGTACAACCACTACGCTCAACTTTAACAACACAGATGATCGAAAGAAGGACAAAACGAAGCTTCTTCTGCCGGCCCATGTGTGGCAATGGACCAGCCTCCGTGTGAAGGTGGGCTACCGAGGTTAAGGTCTTGAGTAGAGGTTGGAGAGGTTAAATGAAATGCTTGGAAAATAAAATGGAAATTTTGAATTACAATTTGAATATTTCAAGAGGTTCATTTGTTGAGTTCTTTCCCCTGTCGTTTTAAATATTGAAGGTGAATCATGCGGTGGGGATAGATGATAAATGTTTTGAAAAAATGCTTTAAAAGCTGTTCACACAATGAGCAAGTAATTAAAACTGTGATCCACTTGTTTCCAACAAGACATATACTTCGAAACATGAAGCATGCAACTTTATCTGACCTGTTTATGTTTGTGTGAACTTTTGACCGAAGATTAATGATGCCTGCATGCTGTCTATTACGGAATATGTAGAGACGGGTTAAGAAAATAAACAACTATTAAATGCAATCAAACCACTCATCTATAAACATGACAGCATCCCAAAAGATATTAATGATACTGGAGATCGTTTTGTCACATCGTATGCTGTTTTTTTCTTGTTTTTGCCATCAACTTTCAAAGTGTAGTTGGTGTAAAATTAATACACGAATGTTTGATTAAATATTTTCGGTTCATGAGAGTAAATTCAGACGGAATGACTACTCCAAAGCGCTTTCCTAAATGTACCTTCAGCATGAACGCTCACAGCCACAAATTTGAAAGCAGATATGTACCGATTAACGTGCACAGCTAATAGATCAAAAGTGACATACAAATTATAGCCAAATCCATCTCAATACAGCTTTGCTCGAAGAGTTGGAACCTTAGTTTCTTAATCATTTCTAGATTTATCAACGGACTGTTCAAGAAATAGATTACTGAACAATTTATTAATTAAACAAGCTATCACATAATAGATACCAGGATAATAATGTGTTATGTCAGACGCACGTTTCGTTTCCATAAGACTCACCAGTGGCGCTGGAATTAAACTGTTGCAAAGCAAAATCAAATTACGAAGTTGAAGAGCAGTAATAACTCAACATTCCGAAAAGTTGGGCCAAATACGACTAAGGCAATCTATACCTATGTGTTTATAACCTTAGTGTTCAAGAAAGTTATGTTATATATCGTGCAAGCCCCAAAGCACAGATTACTGAGCTAGTGGTACCCTCGAAAAATAATAGTCTACCGGCAGCGGTATCGACCAAGTGCTATACAAAATGACAGCAACACTTTATAAATGTTATGCATCCGGAACGTTTTTCTATATTTATAAGTCCATATTTATATATTATGTTAAAAAAACAAGTACCTTGAATTCAAATATAGTTAAGTTTATTCTCTTTTTAGCAATTCGACTGGACAATTGTAATGTGAGAGGATTTTTTGCTCATACTTTGATGGACGGTTTTGAATTTAATTCAGGATTCACAGATAAATTCGGTTTGTATTATGTTGACTTAAAGGATCCACAAAGAAAACGAATACCAAAAGATTCAGCTTATTTTTACAAGGATCTTATATTATCCAACGGTTTCTTCAAGGAAACTGTGTCACTTATGCCATTTGAATCTGTCAAATACCCACGTGATCCAAACAATTTACCAATGCTAGATGACTTCTACTACGGGACTTTTCCTGATGATTTTGCCTGGAGTTCAGCAACGGCAGCTTATCAAGTAGAAGGAGCATGGAATGAAGATGGTATGTGATAGCTTGTTTAATTAATAAATTGTTCAATAAGTTAAACACGTCTATTTCTAAGGTATAAACAGATGTGTATAAATTTTGAAAAAAAAATGAAAAGAGTTCTTTTGTGTGTCAATTAAAAGCCCAATGCTAATTTGTTAATATCCAATGCGTCAGAAATATCAAAAATCGACTCCATTATGTTCCTTTCCGGTTGTTGATATTTCATTATAGATAGTAATATTACGTTTGAGTGTACAGTGTGTGGTTATTACAATATGAACCTGTTTAAAGTGATGAGTTAGTTTCCAAACAAGTACTTAAATTTTTTAAACGTTGATGCACGTATCATGAATTGGTCAAAACAGTTACTCAGTCTTAACATTTATTTTGGAATTTATTGTGGATATAGACTATTAAGGCTCACCATCCTATCTATATGTATACAAGATTTTTACATCTACTTAAGGGAAAGGACCGAGCATCTGGGATGTTCATTCACACAATGGTAAGATAGACAACAATGCTACAGGCGACAAAGCATGTGATAGTTATCATAGATACAAGGAAGACATCAAAATTATGTCGGACATGAAGGTGAGAAACTATTTAAGTATTGCTGATTACATCATAATTTAAGAAAGAAAGGTAAAAATGCGAAAGGATATAGCTTCACATTTTTCAAAAATGAGTGTTTTATAAAAATGTTTTTAGTTTGTTATCTTGATATGAATTGGTTTGCACTTCAATTGTTTAAAATCAGTTTTAATCGAGATATTTATTTCACGAAATATAACGTTTTTGTCCTAAAAGATTAAGATTTTCATGACATCTCCTTTTTCCAATCTCTTGCTGATGATCACTTAAATCATACATCATACAACATTGTAATCAGTGCCAGTTCCATATATGTCTTTTAACGTCTATATACAAATAATAGACTGTTACAATGAGAAAAATCTTCATTGTTATTTATACATTCATGACATTGTCATTAAAAAAAGTGTGAATTTAGAATATATCGCTAAATGAATTGCTGATACCTACAGTGACAAACGCGCGACGTGAATAGTTCAACCAAACATATATCGCATACCAGTCCGGTTTAGGTAACGCATTACAGATTTTCAATATCCTGGCCAAGAATCTTACCTGACGGTACAATTGGACATATTAATCGTAAAGAAATTGAGTATAACAGTAAATTGATTGATGGTCTGAAAGCTGCTGGAATTGCACAGATGGTGACTTGTATCACTGGGATTTGCCACAACCTTTACAAACTCCATACAAGGGATGATTAAATGAATCTACATCAGACCTGTTTGCTAAATATGCTAAGATATGCTTCCGAGAATTCGGTGATAGGGTAAGACAAAAAATAATTATTACGTTAATAGAAAGCATGACCATTTAAAATTCAGGTTTTTTATATTTTGGTTATATGGTTCGAATTTGATATATGTTAAATGTAAAGTTAAAAAATTGTTCATGGGCAATTGCAGTAATATGCAATTCAAAAATTCTTTAAAGGATCTATAGATTATACTGTTATATTGTATTGAAAACAATGAGTTTTCTGTCGATTACTTATTATATGTTTAAACTCCAAGATAAAACTATGGATTACACTTAATGAGCTCCGTGTTTTTTCGTAACACAGAGGTACGGAGACGGACACATGGTTCCAGGAGTTATAGGACTAGAGACACAGTGTTGAATCAGCTCATAACCTCATCAAAGCACATTTTATTTATGCTGGGACCTTTTATAGCAGACTATACGGTATGGTTCTGTTCTTACTGTTGAAGACCACGGTGATCTACAATTGCTGATATCCACGTCATTTTAGTTCAGGTTGAAAGTAGTCAAATCTGACAATCAAACCACATCTCTTTTTTTTATTTCGTTTTCCTACTGGTTAAACATAGACAGTCTTTAACGGATTTATTAGTTTTATTTTTTATTGTTCATCCCTCGAAAAAGTTTTGTGTAAAAAATAGAAGATGTGGTGTAATTGCCAATGATTTAACTCTCCAACAGAGATCAAATGACATAGAAGTTAAAACTATAGGTCACATTAAGGCCTTCAACAATGAGAAAACCCGTAACGCATAGTCAGCTATAAAAGGCCCCGAAATGACAAATGTAAAATAATTCAAACGAGAAAAATAACGGCCTGATTTATGTAAAAACAATGAACGAAATACAAATATGATATACAGCAACAAATGACAACCACTGAGTTACAGGCTCCTGTCGGGACAGGCACATACCGAATGTGGCGGGGTTAAACATGTTAGCGAGCGCCCAACCCTCCCCCTAACCTGGGACAGTTATGTTACTTGACAACATATGAACAAACTATAAAAATCAGTTAAAATGGGCTTAACTCATCCGATCGATACGAAGCTGAAAAATAATTAACAATTTCACAGACCGGACGTGGCAGGGTACTTTATACGAGAAATTAAGTACAGTCTGTATATTGTGCTATGTTATTGCATTACAATAGACATAAGGAATGACTGTATGGAGTCTTTGTTATGTCATTACTTTCTCATGTAGGTCTGTGTCCTCTTGGTTGAAGGTTACACTCTTGGGATTACGTAAAGCCTTTAACTGGATTAGAAATCAATATGGCAACGCTCCAATTTATATTACAGAAAGATAGAAATAAAAGCTTTCAAGATACTCATCATGTATATTTTCATAAGCATTACATCAATAACGTTTTGAAAGGTAGGTAGTATCACATAAAGAAATCGAATTTAAAGTTAGTATTAAACGACGTATCGAATGCGAAGTAGTACATACCTAGCATTACGGGGTCATTTAAATCACGTCTGATTGGGTTGTGTCAAAAAACTTAAGTTTAAGCATTCATCTACTATGGCAAAAAATGTATGGATGGTATCCATTTTTCTCTTTGATTAAGTCGGTTCTGTAATTGTTTTCCCCTAAGATTATAATACAAGAAATGAGCGTTCTACCAAACGTTTACTATATCCTCAGCTTATGCCAGTAGCAAATACTTCGGTATTAGGTTTATCAAAATCAAAATAAGAACAAAGTGTATGATTGTCAATGAGACAACTACATGTATTTACCAGAGAACAAATTAAGAGGAGGGGACTGCATGGACTTCAACATTTAGCGTAGTCATAGCATACCAAAGCAGACTTGCCTCGCTGTATGAAATAAATATTGTAATGCAACATCATTTGAACTCATTCATATTCAATTACAAATAGAAAAAAAATCTCATATTGATTTTTTTATCATTGTTAGATTTTGATATTTTGTTTTTTTTTTCATCAGTTGCTTATCCAACTATTGACTTCATGGCTAGGAGTCTGATTTTCGGTTTCCATTTGTTTTGAGTGTCTCTTTGATGGTATTTGAAGGATTTGTCATTTTGATCTTTACTACATTTGAACTTTTTTTTTATTTTCTTGTGAAAGCCGGTATAATTCTTTCATTATTTCTTATCACAATCTTTAATTGTAGCTTGATGATGTCAACGTCAAAGTTTATAAAGCATGGTTATTAATTGACAATTTAGAGTGGATGAGAGCTAATACCGAACGCTTTGGTCTTCACTATGTTGATTTCAATGATCCTAATGGAACGAGGACCCCAAAAGCATCAGCACGATTTTTAGGGATTTGATATCAAACAATGGTTTTTATCCCGCTGTAGTGCCATCAAGATCAACTGAAATGCCACCAGCTTATAGCAGAATGTTACCCCCTTGTTCATCAACAGCTACAAATATGTATATTTGCAAAATGCTGATAGTATTTACAGATACCGTTAGATATTTTTAAATCCTTTTCTTTCACTATTGTCTTTCTTCATTTACCGATCCTTTTTGCTATTTTTATAAAGGTTCGAATTTTTAGTAAATAAAGAAGAGAAAATCATTTTGTGATAAATGTTTCACGTCACCTTTTGATTTGTTTTGGGGTACAGAAACAACAACGACATGATAAAAAAAAGCATAAACAATTCAAACTTACAGGATCAAGGCAAATTCATTCGGTAAACAACAGCAAGACAGGTAAACAGAAAAACGAATATTATCATATAACATTTTACACTATTAGATTTAAAAAAAAACCAACAGTGGAGTCAGATTATAACAAAAACTCGTCCTGTTTTGTATGTGAAATCTTTGGTATTGTTTCTAGTACTTTATGCATCCGATGGATTAATTTAGTACGAACAAAAATATATCTAAACAAACATATGTAACATTTATTTATATGTTTACGACCAATTGTGATACTCTAAGGTAAATAAAACACATATCAGGTTCGTGATGGACACTTTCGTTGGGTTGTCATCAATTTAGACTGAAGGTATCCCTAGTGGAACAATATGTGTAAGTCTATAAATGTCATATTAAAAAGACTTTTCTAGTAGAATTACATGGGTTATGTACAAAATTGTCAAGTGAAGTAAGTATATTGCAGTTCACAAAAGGTTTTCATTATTTGCACGACATGTTATCACGCTTGTTATCACTTCTTTATCGATGTATTGTTTTTAAACATTGGTAAACTATGGTTGCCTATATTTGTCCTAAGTGTACGTCAATTTGGGCTCAGAGTTTATAATATATGTGGATAGTTTCAAAATTAGTACATATAACATAAATATGGCTTCTCCTACAAAATACATCCAATAGAAATGTATAAAAATTATATGAAAAAATAAAATGTTAAAATTATAGATGAGTATTTTTTTACCATACTTAAATTCCAAGTCCATTATAGAACCTTGACTATTATGGGTTCAAATATTTTCTGTTACATTGTGACCGCTTCGATTCAAAGTGTTCTCGTGCTCGTCTTAAGCGCGGGAAGTTGTATTTGCAATAACTTCCTAAGATACAACCTAAAACTAAATTTTAAATATGCTGCTTCATCGCCAAATACGCGGTAATGACTTGTAGTCAGCTGAAAGGAATAGGTTTTCTGCGGAGCTACTTTTGCGAGCTAGCACGTGAAAATCTGACTCAATATGAGGTCTAGTAATAATCAGGGTATGTTATGGTCCGAAATATACATGTTGGTGGCCTTGGACTGTTTTCTGCTCTTTGGTCGGGTTATTGTCTCTTTGACACATTACCCATTTCCATTCTCAATTTTATATTTGCTTTTGAACATCAAGCCCCATCAATATGTTTCTCCAAGTGTTTTATTTCTCATTTGTTTAAATAATTTTAATACTAATCAACAAAAGACAGTGTTAGTGAACTATTCTAAATACTGAGAGGTTTAATATTTTTTTTTGTGATTCAAAGATATAAAATTCTAAACGAATCGTTAAGATATTATGCCGAACTGTTAGGTATCAAGAAGGAATGGGTCGGTCAAATCATGCATGTAAATCAGAACAAAACCAATAATCTGTTACGAGATCATATAATCATAGCCCATTTCGTGAAACAGAATGAAACATGATTTCAGTGTTTTCTGCTTTCCAAGTTTGAGATTGATTGTTCCATACGAGTAAATGAAAGAAATATATTTAAATACCTCGTAGAATAAAACCGATCTGATTCTATCATTTGATTCTCTGCAATCTACATTAAGATGTTTGATTTTTATGACAACATATATTTGCATGAATTGGTTAAATATGGTAACTTTATAATTATTTTGATAGCATTTATCAATTTAAACTTTAAATATAGGACACCAAACATGATAAACTTTGTTCATCTAAATATTGACAGTAAATGTTAATTAAGAATTGAAATTTCCAAAAAAAATGATGTTTTCAATTTTCATATGACAAACTTTCCGTTTTTATGTAGCAGCATTGAAGAACCACCAACTTATGTATATTTACTCCAAGTTGATACTATATTCCAAGCGCTGTGTTTCATATACAAATTTCCTTGAAAGAGGGTTCCTGATTTTAGTAAACATTTTGATAAAAGGATTCCTTTTGGTAACGTTAAAGTCATCACATTGAAATTTAACGATGCCATTCAGAATTGGATGTCCGTCATGGAATATGTGCTTCACAGATGACCACGAATATGTTCAATTTGATTGCAAAAATGATTTTATATGGTAATAAATCTCGTCTTCAATTTTTTACTTTTCAAAAAGACACGACAGATGCAATATATGTTGCAGAAACTGCATGGGGAACCGGTGACTTATGAAGGTGCTGCTTGAATGCTGCTACATACCAATAAAAAGTTTTTCATGAAAAATAATCCTTTTTCGTAAAGAACTGGCACGTACCTTTTATTTTTATTTAAATGGCTTTGCCTATATAATTCTATCGAATATTGTTGAAATACGAATCTGGTACAGTAAAACTGGTGCCTTTGATGTTGGTTATCCTTCATCTGGAAATCTATTAATCACCATTCACATTCAAGAGAGTATTTATCCGTATCGATAGTTTACTGTATAATAAGGTCAAATGGGTTACAGTCCCATAAATGTAGTGTATAAAACTATGTAAACTATCCACCATAGACCAGATGACGTTGATGTTAGCAACTATATTTCATCACGCGGACATTAACAACAAGCAAATCCAATACCGTATAGCAAGCTATAAATGGCCCCAACATAACAAAAGCTAAAACAGCAACAAATGACAACCACTGAATTACAGGTTCTTGACTTCGGACAGACACATACTATTTGATTACTTATAAAATTGGTTAGATATAAATCATTTCTATTTGTGCCAGGTAACTCATTACCGATTTTCATTGTCATGGCCAAGAATCCTACCCGATGGAACAACAAAGAGTGTCAACCGTAAAGGGATAGAGTATTACAATCAACTATTAGATGGTCTGAAGAAAGCTGGTATCGAACCTATGGTGACATTATATCACTGGGATCTACCACAAGCTCTGCAAGATGCCTATGGTGGTTGGCTAAGTGAAACAGTTTCAGATCTTTTTGCAGAATATGCCAGAATCTGTTATAAGGAGTTTGGTGATAGGGTAAGATGCAAACAGACATATATTTAAGATTGCCAAATTGATATTTTTTTCTACCATTTTCATGGTCAAATTTTTTTATAGAGAAAATACTTTTTTAACATACAGCTTTCCGAAATCATTCAAGTTTATCAAGACGAATACATGAATGTTCTTCAGTACCAGAGTCCAATTAATTATTTATGTAAAAATGATAAAAAAAATTCACAAAATCTTTTAAATAAACTCATTATAGATACCAGGATTAAATTTTGTATTTACGCCAGACGCGCGTTTCGTCTACAAAAGACTCATCAGTGACGCTCGAATCCAAAAAAGTTAAAAACGCCAAATAAAGTACGAAGTTGAAGAGATTAAGCCTTTCTAATGTTAAAAGGCATTATTATATATACTATGCAGTCGTCATAAAATCAAAGACCGCAGTAATTATTTATAGATACAATTCGACTGTTTAAAACGGTAATTGTTTTTTAAATACTCATTTAAGGTAGTTCGATAGTATGGAACAAAAGTGACAGATTTTCCTCAAACTTTGTGGACTTGAACTTTGTTGCATTGGTATTTAATAAATACAATGAATTTAGGGGGTCATCAGCCATCCAAAAGATTTTTCGTCCTCTGACAAATGGGTGCTGATAGGCTTATTTCGCAATGAATATACAGGGGAAATGGGCAAATAACTTCTTTGATGAATTATTCCCAGGGAAAAAAATTACAGAAAGCTTGATGTCTATATTTTGTAAAACTGGAATAGAATTAGGGGGTCACTGGCAATATAAGAGAATAAATCTACTTTTAATGACGGATTTACCATGTCAACGGGCTAAAAGTAAAATTTCTGAAAAAAAACAATTTTTACGAGTGAAGAAGTTTGATATCCACATATCTTTTAGAAATTCCATGGGAAAGCAATAAACTTTGACAGGGTAATTGAATACTATCTGCAGAAAGTAAAGTTGATTTCAATGGTTTCCAATAGTAAAACACGGACTTAGCCATTTCTCAATTTTCAACATATTTCTTGCAATTTCCATAGGAATTTATCGAAACTTTGCAGGATTATTAAGCATCTTCTGTAAATATGCTAATTTTTTTCATCAAAATGATTTTTCGGTTATCAATGGTTAAACACGGACTTACCTATTTATGTCAACATGCTCTATAAACGTCTCCTATCTGAGGAGCATAACCATGAGATATGGTGTAAAGGAGACATTTAGCACACATAATCATCACATATTAATGTAAGCATTTGCTCACTTAGGCTGTGATGGTGGTTCTTACTCTTACTTCGACAAGGTTAACTATCTTCTAACTCGGTGTGTATGTAGTGGTGGTAGTGGGGGGGGGGGGGGGGGCGGTTGGGTTGGACAAATCAATCCGTTTTGTTTGGATGGATTAGCAGCTGCGACATCCAGTACTACCCTGTTCATACATTATGAATATTTAAAAAATACATATACATAACCTTACATATATTTTAAAAATAGATCATGTGCAGATGTGCAAGTTACAATTGTTTTATGTGTGATTGAATTTATTTTTGGGAGTTCACATGGTAGAGCATGGACAAAGCTATTTCCGCAATTGTCTTTAACATATCTCTCACATGCAGCTTTCAAATTACTTCATTCTATTTTTAAATATTACCGACATTGGTTATTCCAATATTGATTACCTGCGGAACGAGTCTCCTTAATTTTTTTTTTTCACTTTGGTGGGTTGAAAAATAGTTATCATCCCTCCAAAATTTATCCAATCGATCTGTCATCCCTTTAAAAGCTTGGTGATCTATTCCTAGAAAATTTGTCACCAACACTACACTAGATAATTATTCTTTTTGATTAAAGTACATGCAAAAGAGAAAGAATATGGGTAATTGTAGCGAGAGGAACAAAATTAAACATAACAAGACATCTAGAGGTAGCTACGTGAGTGTCAACACAGTTGTTCGTGACAGTGGAAATCCCAATCAAGTAGGGTGCAGCAAAGTTCACGGCACAGTTATAGGATACTAGACTGAAAACTAAAAAACTCTTACTCATAAACACATTTTGTCAGTTTGTTTAAAAGAACATTTATTATATGTGATGAAGAAAACTAATACCAAATAAGGGATTAGCAATTTATCTTCAAGGGGGTATATGGATTTTTATGTTATTTGATTTTTTTTCCTTCAATGGCTTGACACATTTTAATTTGTTTTAATATCAAACCATATCGGGTTTTTTTCTTACCAATTGGGAACAGAATATTTTGTTTCCAACAGGGTTGACAAAGTATTATCCTGGGACTGGGCAATTTTCCCAAAATTGGGTAATATTGGACAATATGATGTTTACACAAAATAGTAAAGTAATACTGTAGTTTCATAGTAGTATTGCTAAAAATTTACATTTGATACAGACAAATACTGAGAGTCATTTTCAAGGGATATAAAAACTCAATTTTTCCTTTACCTAGTTATTTATTTTTCATTTTTGTTTAAATCAATACAAAGATTGATAAAAGCATTTTAGTATAGTGTATTAGTACAGTGAATTGGAAAATTTAATTGCTATACAATCATAATGAATGATACACCCTAATGAGATATGTTACCTACACTTACAGAGTTTAAAAGGCTAATTATTGCAATATAAATATAAACAATTCTGTGTTATAATCTAAATAATTACTGTATATGTAAGTATGCTAATAATGTTTCAATACTTAAAATAGTAATGATTTTTTATTTTTCTATTTTTTAAACTACATTGATATTTTCTAGAAGTTTCTTTCGTTTTTAAATAAGGAAGTGCAATAATTTAAATAAATTTTAAGTAACAAACAAAACTACAGATGAAAGAATCCAAACAAATTTCATTTCATCAGATAACTTTGAAAAAAATTTGAATTTAGAATTCAAATTAGATAGATGTTGCGATCTTGTATCTTTTAGAACAGGACATTTTAATCCTGCACAAATCTTCCTACAGTCGTATTTGTCCTCGATCAGCTTTTGGTGATTATTTTAAGTCACTGGTTAATAAAGGTGTCATAAAATGGGTATTTTCATATTTATCCTGTATTATGTCCTCGCACAGTTGTATTGGGTCTCTATTAGCTGTATTGGCCCTCGGCTACGCCACGAGTCAATACTGCTAACTTCGACCCAATACGACTGTTCTTGAACATAATACAGGATTAATATGAAAACACCCATTTAATAACACTATATTAATGTCGCTTGTTTTCATCTATTAATCATATGTGTGAATGTTAAAGACAAAAAAACAAAACAAAAACCGGTCAAAATTTGTCATATTGGGGTATTAACTCTTGTGTGAAGTCGTGTGATGAGTTTGGTAAAAATGAATGTGGGTAGATTTTGCTTCTCTAAGCATTTTTGCCTTGTTAGATTTTCAATCTGATGAGTCTTATGAAGACGAAACACTCGTCTGTCTTACCAAATTACAAGCCTGATATCTTTGATAAAATTTTCACCGTTATTTTGTTATCAATGACGGTCTTGCTGGTTGGTTATCGAGAATAACATAAACGCAATCTACATACATACCACGAGAAATGTCTGTTAACATTTCTTCATTGTTTAAGGAAGACAGGTAAGCGACGAACGATGGACGCCAATTGGCGGCAATATCAATCATGACCCTTAGGGCCAGTTGAATTGAAATGGTATTGGGTTGATTAACATGAGAAAACATAACAACATCAACAACGAAAAGTGGAAACAATTCTGATAGCTAGCAGAGGCTAAAAATCTATTCCACACGAAATAAACAAATAAAAGTATGGTAACTACTTAATATTCTATTCCAGACTTTTAGAAGGGTCGTTCCTAACAACCATACATTGGACTGGTATAACTAGTCTCTATATTACATCATAAATACAGCGCGGTAATACTTGTGAATGCTCGATTATCTGATGCAAGTATATTCCAGTAAACATTATTCACCCAGAATTGTACGTCCTTAAAAAAATTGTCAAAGGTAATAACTTTCTTAATCTGGTGCAAAGAGTTCATCAAGTACACAGGATTCCAGAAGATTAGAAAACATTTCTAACAAACAACTGCCAAAACCAAAGTCCAAATTGTACGTATCAATTCTTTTTCAAAAATGATGCAAACAGCGAGATAAAAGAGACTGAAATTAAAGCCTTATGAAAATCAGACAGTATTTCCATAGTGTCACGGAGACATTTAAGTTGATTTTAATTATGTTTGCTCGGATGGTCAGAGGGAATGAAAATGTATGCTCTATAAATATGGTATACTATTCAGAATCATACGCTTATATAGTACACTGTAAGCCTGCAATTCAATCATCATATGATCTGAAACATATTTATTATTTACAGTCTAGGAAAAGTGTAATCCTTTGTAGATCATTGATATATTCATGAAGAAATAATATAGTTGTGCGTTAATGATATAAAATGAAAATTAATTTTAAATATGGAATACAAGTTTCAATAATGTATGTTACGAACATGTTTAGGTCTGAAAGTCTTGCAGTTATTTTTGGAATTTTATTAATTGATTTGCAACATATTTCGAAAAAATTATGCTTTTCGGATGATTATCCAAACTTGTCGTTAAAATTAAGTATTTATCATAATATTTTTCACTATGTGATACAGGTATATATTCTAAAAGCGACTAACCAATACATTTTTGCAATGAAGGTAAAACTATGGATAACTCTCAATGAGCCCAGGGTTGTGGCAACACGTGGATATGGTGGCGGTACAATGCCACCTGAGGTTGGAGAACCAGGAACAACTGTCTACATTGCAGCGCATAACCTCATTAAAGCACACGCAAAAGCTTATCGTGTTTACAACAACGAATTTAGGAAGATTCAAAAAGGTAACAAAAGTATACACAAAATCATGTGAAATTATATGGTTATTGTGCTAAAGTAGTTTGGCATGTTGAAAACCGACGGATTTTCACTAAGCAAATTTCTGAAGAAAACCTCAAAGGAGTATCAATACTAATGCATTTAAAATGGGTGCAGATAAACTATCCTTCAACCATTTTAAATGCACTAGTATTGATACGCTTTTGAGCTATTTTTTGGAAATGTGCTTAGTAAAAATCCGTTACTAGAAAGTTATCCGCGCAAACACAGGTTTACATGACATTTTAGGACAAAAGAATGAACGTCATGCCTTATTTTTATTTCTAAATATCAGTTGAATTAGTTTGTCGGTATAATACGATACATGCAGTATGATGTGAAGAGCCATACTTTTTTTCTCGGTTAAAAATAGATGCAGTAACCAATACAGTTGTAGAAATTGAATATCCGTGATTTTCAATACGAGCCTCTCTTTTATAAAATTTGTTGAATCAAACACAGTAAGAATAACACTCTGACAATTTCAAAGCACTTTTTTATTCGGCACAACACCTAAGTCAATCTTATTGAAATAAACATGAACGTAAGGATATATAAAATACATTTTATGCATACATATGATTCCACCTGATCCCTACATAGATCCTATTGATCCTTGCTGTGTATTGGAGGATTAAGTCAAATCAAAATCAAATCAAATATTTTATTGTCGTATAAACTTTACAGTTTGTGACCAACATGTATTAACACAATAAACATATATACATACATATCAAACATACACAATAAAAAACAGCATCAAAATTTATAAAAACAAACAAGCTGTTAAGAGTCCCCTGCCCTCAGTTCTAATGACTTTTTCAAGAAGGATCCGAACTTATTTGTTTGTAAAGGCGTTGATGGATTTAGTAAATAATGAATTTTTTCTTCTTCATTTAAATTATTAAAGTTATCATTTTCAGTACATATGTGTTCAAAAAAGGCATTTCTTAGTGTTTTATTATAATCACAATAGAGTAAAAAATGTCTCTCATCCTCTAGTATTTTACATTTATGATAAATTCGTTCCTCTCTTGGGATTTTAAAATATCTCCCCTTTTCAATTAAGAGGGAGTGATCACTTAGTCTTAATTTAGTGATCAATCTCCTTATCTGAAATTTAGATATATTTAGATAAGATTCTAGTATGCAATCTTTTTAAAGTTTTTTTATATAGATACAATTTACTTTTATCATCAATGTTTTCAAATTTAGTTTCAATTAAATCTTCATATCTATTTTTCATTTTTAACTTTATATCGTTTTTTATTTTATTTACATCTTTTATGTCCTTACAAGTAGAAAGAATATTAAGGTCAATATTAGTCTCTTCAATAATATTTTTTGCATATGTATACCATGAATAAGTTCCAGTCAAATCTAGAGACTGTGCTAGAGAAAAAGCTTCCTTTATCAATCGATTAATATTATTATTATATAGTCTAGCTAAATATAAAAGGGTTTGTGTTTTAATAAAACATTCTATAGGCAATCTTCCTAATTCAACTCTTGCTCCTAAATTGGATGCATTTTTTCTTATTCCTAGAGTAGATTTACAAAATTTAAGATGCATATTTTCAATAGGGGTTTTGTCTGTAAAATCAAGTTGATTATTTTGTTTTCCTGAAGATAAGGCTCTGTTTTTGGCTCTATGAAAAGAAATATATGTATCCAAATATGTTACTTCTGAATTATAGGTCATAACTGGTTTTACTAAAGAATCAAAAAGATTATTTGCTACTTTTATAGGTAGATTATTCAATGATTTAGTATAGGATTTTATTGCAAAAAAATACTTTTTTTGCCTTTTTTGTCAGCTCTAAAGTACTTTGTGATAAATTTCCATTACATTTTATCAACATTCCCAAAAATGAATATTCTGATACGTTCTCTATGGCTTCATTCTCATAGTAAATATGTGATGTTTCACCATTTTGTTTGGACTGACTGAGAATCATGGATTTTGTTTTGTTTGTATTTAAAGAGAGTTAAGATTCTTTGAGAAGAACAAAAACTTCATTTCTGTATTTTCCCCTTAGTTATGGTGTTTTAGTGCCATATGGGCCAAATGATAATTTTTGCAAAAGCATATTCAGGCTGTGGTCTATCTACTTCAACACGTTCATAACGGGAATGCGAAAAATTATCATGACTACTCAAGCTGGTGAAAACTTTAACTAAAGCACAGTCTTACTAGATAAATTTTTTGTCACTACCGACACATTTTTTGTTTGTTTAAGATTGAGAATTGAAGCGGGGAATGTGTCAAAGAGACAACAATCCGACCAAAGAGCATTAAACAGCCCAAGGCCACCAATGGGTCTTCAACACAGCGAGAAACTCCCGCAATCGGAGGCGGGCTTCAGCTGGTCCCTAAACAAAAATATTTACTAGTTCAGAGAAAATGGACGTCACACTAAATTCCGAAACATATAAATGAACCAAAATTTAAAAAAAAAACATACAAGACTAACATGGTTCATTTGGAACTGACCTAACAATCGAAATTTTATAATATGTCCAACGTAGTATATTCACTAGAAAATTGGATACAACTATTTCTACAAGTAATTGAACAAGTTAACACGTGTGTCATCCATTCTAAGAAATGCATTTTATTTATTTTCCAGCTTGTGTGCATTGTCAAATTTACAAAAGATATATTTAGTCTAATATCAAGATTACATCGTTATTATGTACAGCATTAAGCCATAATTAAATTGTTGAAACGAAGTGTGACGGTATAAATGGTAATGTCTACACTGCTTCATTAAATTTGTCATACATATTTCCTGACAGGAAATGTTGGGATAACCTACAATTTCCATTGGCAAGAACCAACGGACAAATCTAATCCGGAAGACATAGAGGCGTCTGAAACAGGTAACCAGTTTTTCCTCGGATGGTACGCCAATCCTGTATTTGTAGACGGTGACTACCCAGATATAATGAAGAAGAAAATTGGGGACAAGAGCAGACGTCAAAATTTTAATTCAAGCAGACTCCCAAGTTTTACCGAGTACGAGAAACAATATATAAAAGGTATTTAGAAAACGACAAAAAAGTCAGATCACTAATATGATTTTTTGGTGTTCAGTATTTAAAACAAACACAATTCCTTATGCTTTAAAAGTTTTGCCTATTGTTTGACTTATTTACTGAGGTAATTGGGTTATCCATGAATAAATTTAGAAAAGAAAAAAAAGTAGGGTTCCAACTCCCTAAGGAAAAGTTTACTTTAGATGGATTTGGTTATTCTTTTTGTCCTTTAGATGGATTTGGTTATTCTTTTTTGTCCCTTTTTGTTCGTATAGCTTCTCACGTATTAAAGTAATTATACATCCTTGACTTAAGATAGTTGTTGTTTGCTGAAAGTAAGTCCAGAAAAGCGTTTCGGACACACCAAATTTATAAAGTGTAATCTTCATTGATAAATGAATTAGTACACACTGACGTATTTGATTGGACGCATAACGTTCAAAGTGTGCAACTTGTTCATTCAATAGATATAGGAAGATGTGGTATGAGTGCCAATGATGCAATAGGCTTGTATTTCTCTTACCTGTAGCAATATAATTGATTCAAAAAGAACAAAAGGTCTTTTTATTATCAGCGTTTTTTTCAGAACTATCTATAAAAAGTCGATCAGTCAATTTTCTTCTTATTTAATCTCATAATTTCCTTAACCTGTAGTTTAAAACAATACCGGTTACACTTATTAACGCGTAATTTTGTTTCTTTTGTATCGAGTCCACATTAACCTACAGGGCCACTCATCTCTTCGTCGCTTTTTACTATAGGTTCATCTGATTTTATTGGTTTGAACTTCTACACATCGGAAATGGTATCCATGCGCCGAACTCCTACATATAAAGTTGATTATAGGGATGACACAGATATTATTGCCGTTAAAGATCCATCTTGGATTGGGTAATTATGATGACCTTCATTTAGAGCAAATGTTTATCCATGATAATATAAAAATGAGGAGACGTCGTATGACTGCTGATGAGACAACTATCAACCAGAGTTAAAATGAAGTGGTTTAAAGCAATTATAGGCCACCGTACGGACTTCAACAATGAAAATACACATACCGTAAAGTCGGCTATAAAAGGTCCCGACATGAAAATATGAAACATTCCAAACGAGAAAAATAACGGCATAATGTATAACTAAACAATCTATGGAGAAAAAACAATGATAGACATGAACAAACAAAAATCAGTACACATCCAACGGATTGAGGGTAAAGACGTCATAAACAGTCTGAAAAATGGTGTATATATATATATATATATATATATATATATAAGTAAACAGTAGAAACCTACAGGTTCAGCCAAAGTTTCTAACAAAATATTTATATCTATGAAAGAATTTGGTAAAGTTTTTAGTTATTTTCATTGAAATCTAAAGTGCGACTACAGACCCAGGCATCTCGAACAAGTTGTAACATATACACAACGTAAGAAGTGGCCAAAGAAACATTACCTTCCAAAAATGAAAAAATAAGAATTGGGAAATAAAAAACCGTCTCTTTTGTCAGAAATTTTAGTATAGAGTTTCCCGTGTGAAACTGGAAAAAAAGGACACTTAATGCTATCTGTATTAGATTTATTTCAAGTCAGTTCCTTTGGGTAAATTTCAGCATTAAAATTAACAAATTCTTGATTATTTAACGAAATAATATCATCAAGGTAACGGTTTGTGTTTTCTAAGGACCATTTATTTAAATAAGAGCACTTCTGTTAAGTAAATTTTGTATTTACGATATAATAAATGTGCAACAAATAAATTAAACTCTGCTTTAGATACATCCTTCTATTTTGCAATATTTAATGCACCACATAAGCATTTGAAAATGCATTTCGCATCGTTGGTGATAAAAAACAAATGTAGAAAATTATAGATATCATATTAATGACTGAAAACAAATAATCCCGGTAATCCAACACTTATTCTGAAGATGAGGAATAAACTATTCCAAATTATAGTTGACTTTAGGACAATTGAATGAGAACTAACATTTATAATTGCTAATTTGAAGACTTAATTTTGTTTCCCATTATGTTCTTTTATTATCGACAGTGGTCGTATTGGCCTACAACCAAAGTCCTAAAATTTAGTTTTAATGATCACACTAGGTTTAATAAATACTTTCTTAGTCTAGTTTTGTTTTTTTGTTTGGGTAGAGGGTTATTATCGCGACGAAAATATGTTAAATAATACATTGGGAAGATTACAGGCGGAGAACTTATGATTATGGCATCCCACAGTGGCATCTAAAATTTTTGAAACTTTATATTTCTGTTTCTAACATTAAGGTTTAAGCTGGAAAATGACCAAAAATATCCATATGGTTCTAGTAATTCAAACCTACTAAATTGTTTCTTCATACATAAGGGGTTTAATTAGAATTTTAAGCAGAAATTTTGATTACAAATAGAAGTTAAAGTAACTTTCTAGGTCTGGATCTTCATGGTTGAAACTAACTCCTTGGGGAATAAGAAAAGCATTGAATTGGATGAGAAACCACTATGGAAATGTTCCAATATACATAACAGAAAATGGTATCTCTGACAGAAACGGAAGTTTACATGATGATCATCGGATATTTTATTATAAACATTACATCAATAATGTTTTGAAAGGTATCTCTAATTTTCTATGATATAAGACACGGGATGAAAAGGGACAACATGAATTTTCAAAAATACCGCAAAGTACAATGCACCACACCAATCACCTAAACCGACTCCTCTGAATATAAACCGACACACATATAATGACGAACAACAACGAACAGCACATGGTCAAGATAGTCTGCTTCGGTACAGATACAAAATATTTCGTAAAAGTAGATCGCACAATAATAAACCTGCGTAATGCAGGTACAAACAGGATGACTACAGACTTGAAAAAGAAACAAAGGACGGATTATGATTTAGAAAAAAAGAGTCAAAATGTGGTCGCTACTGTAGGAAGCTAAGGTAGCTACAGATGTTCGTTAGATACCTAAATATCGACTTCCATGATAAGTGAGTGGGTTCAAAATCTGTGAAAAGTGAGTCAAATTGAATAATCCAGCAATATTTTTAAATGAGTCTTTCAGTAGTAATAGAAAAACAAAGGATATGGGGTATCCAACTATGACATAAAACAGTACATGCACAGCAAAAAACACAAAAAAGCAAAGGGAGAGCGCTTGTTTTGCTGTTCCTCATCTCAAAGTCACAGTGAGGCCTTCAACACGGAGCAAAACAATTCTCACCTCACTGAGAGTTTAAGACGGCCCCCAGCACCGGCTTGAGCGGAATTCTTTGCAAAAATAATTAAAATAGACCTTGTAAGATGCTACACCACCAAACCGGGCCCGGTCAAAAAAGAACATACTGGAAAGTAGTACATATTTAAAACAAAATAGTTCCTACGTATAGGTGTAAAAATAAAACTATGTAGAATATATTTCAGTAATTAAGGTATCAGATGAAAGGTGAAGCCCATATCACTATTCATGAATTATTACCAAGTGAGCTACAATTTAAGGTACCATTCTTTTTTAACATAATTTTTGGATCATAATGTAGCATTTAATCAAATATGATGAGCATAAAATATAGCAGGAATTATAAAACATCATTGGACAGAACGACCTGTTTCCTCCCATGAAAGAGACGTACAAACATTGAAAAACAATAACGGACATCAAATTGTCCAGATAATCTGACAACATTTTTTTATTTTTATTTGTGATCGGGTTTCCATCTTCGCTAGCTAAGGGTAACGATCCGACCCGCTCCTCTTCATCCGTGGCAATTAAGTCAGAATTTGGGATCCACAAGGTAATGATTTCCATCGGTCGCAGTTGTAACTATCTGCTTCTAATCTAAAACGCCTTTAAGATGATCACGTGTAAATGTAGAAAATGTAAATAAACAATTGCCACGTGCAGATTGTGTAGCGCGTCTCTGTCCCCAAAACATAGGACTATATTGAGACACTGTTGAAATTGATACTCAACAAATTAGTTATGTTCCTCGTGCAAATGTTGGAATGTGAACGTATATATGTGGTGTCTTCTTTACGAAATTTGTAAACACTAGACACAGTCATTTTTACATCTCCGAACTAAAGAGTACAAGTGCTGTCATTGATCAATTATGACGAAGTCGGAGTGGGCGTGACTTCTATCTGTCGTAAGATGGCACTACACTGTATACACAAATACTGCCTTAATCTGCCAAGGGTGAAGAGGAGTTGGTCGGATCATAACTCTTCGCTAGCGAAGATATCGGGTGCCCGGAAGATCAAAAGTACAACAATTGGTACTTGTGATCTGAAAAACAGGCAAGATTTGTCTACCGTTTTTTTCTTCTCAAAATTTAGTTTTTTACCAAACATGCAGCAAGTTTTCTGTAGTGATCCTCAATCATTTTATACTAAAATTACAAGAATATTTTACATGTTGTCAATTTTACAGCTTTCCGTATTAAAACAACATATACTTTCTTTTGTTATATTCTTCCTGGCCGGGTCCACAATAAGTGGTTCTATACCTTCAGCAATAAATTGTCAATTACGAATGGTCGTCATTCATCGAGTAAGGCTTACTTCTTCAACATTCCAAGTATCAGTCATACGTTAGTCAGTAAGTCTAATTATTTTCATGACCTTAACCTAATGTCATTCATTTCAATTGAACTTTTTTTATGTTCGTTTCATATAACAAGCAATACGCATTGACGGTATCAACATAAAAGGATATACAGCTTGGTCCCTTATGGATAATTTTGAGTGGATGAGAGGGTATTCAGAAAGATTTGGACTCCATTTTGTTAACTTCAGTGATCCATCTAGACCAAGAGTCCCAAAAGCATCATCTAGATTTTTTCGTGATTTAGTTGTTAACAATGGGTTTTATCCTAGACATAATTCGGGTGAACTGGCTTGGCCAACGGAGCAACCACCAGCTATTTTACAAACTTTATCGCCTTGTTCGTCGAAATCGTCTAAAACTTCAAACCTTTTCTTGACTTTAACCGTCTTCCAGTTAAGTGTCTTTATGATTACTGCATAGTTATGAAACATTTTTGTATAAACTTATTGTGCTTCTTGGTACGAAACAAAAACAAAAACAACTCTTTTTTTATCATTCTCAATATCATTGTTTTAATTAAATCTTATGTAAATAGTGATGCATACCTATAATCAAATTATTAGATAAAACGTCTAGAGATGTTGGTCTTTGGTTATAACATTTACTTTTCAGCAAATCTAGACCCACCCACGATTAGGGACAATGGATAATTACCAAAATCTTCCTTTTGATGGAGTTGCGACAAATCTATCATTCTAGGTTTGGATTCATACCGCCAAAAAATGTCAAATAGATTTTTTTTTTATAAAAAAGTACACATACACAACAAAATATCTTTATTTCATTAAATTAGTTGCGTAAAAGTTAAAAGATGTGTGAGGTTCCCTGAGCAATTGTTTTTGCTTTATTGCATTTTCCGATGACTATGAGGTAGGATGAACAAAGCGTCAGACAAAAAGAAAGTGAGGTAGGAGGAAACAGAACGCTTAGTCACATGGCAAGTCATAATTATAATACTCCACATGGCTTTGTAACATTAAAGGGCCAGTCACAGACCTGGAGCCCTTGGTTAAATACCAGTCCTGTAAAATATAGAAGAACATTACACTTACACTGTAATTAATCACCGAGTTTGTTTTTTGTTTGTTTGTTGAATTAAGGAACACTGAGCGTTTATCTTCACCATAACAATGGTGAAATAGTTTCAATGGGGATACTTGGCATATAAAGCTCCAAAGGTTTTTGTAGTTTTTTATTTTTAATGGACATGTTATTTTTTTATCAATTCTGACTCGCAGATAGGAGTTTAATAACTATATTGAACTCTAACAAATTCAAGTTAAAAAAAATCATTGTTGGTTACGGTCGTATTGATATTCCAGTTTTTTTGGGTGGTGGGAGAAAACCACCGACCTTCGTGGAGGCATTAAAACCGACAAGTTATAGAAAGTTAAACATGGGTTCGAATCCTGAAACCAAAATGAAAAAAAGTGTATATTATTTTATTTTTGAAAGAATGCATGAATGAATACTTTATTGCAGAAACAAACATAATGCTCAAAATATATATCTTTTTTATACACAATGACAAAACAAGGTAAAACCGATTAATGAAATGTATTATTAAATTCTCAAAATCTAAAGATAATTTATTATTATAACATATGCACTACTTATTTTATCTATAACTAAAATTTCAGTTTTATGATTAAGACAAGTTTTACAATTATTGACTTTTTAGTGAATCAGATAATCTGGTATTTTGTGAGAGAATAAATTCTACAGAGATAGTTCAACTTGATATTACATCAAATCAACAAATTTTCGCATTGTATTATAACAAGAAGTAAGAATAAAAGAATAAGTGCCACATGTTTCGTTTTTATTTCCTGTCATTGATCTTAATGTTAATGATTTTCACCACATAAATTTTATTTTTTTAGTAAGTACGGTTACCTAAATTGATAAATTAAATTAAGAATTACGTTCATTTGAGTCTCTGCAGTTTTGTAAAATGTTAGAAACATCTATAATAATTCAATTACTAAACAACTTTAACAACGCTCATAGTAATTCAGATCATAAACAATTTTGGATTTTAAACATTCATTTTTATGTTCGCCTCGAGCATCATCGAAGAGACATTACTTGTCGAAATGCCCATCTGGTGCTGTAAAGTTTATGTTGTTATGTCATGGAGTCTTTAATTTAGTTTGACACCTTCAGAATTATTAATTGTAATCTTTTTAACCTTTTTGACCTTACAATTGCATGATCCAAATTGTTTTACAATGCACTTTCGCCTCTTTACTTTTTTAAATATTGTTTTGTGTGAGCTCTTGTTATCTTGGTATAGGTTAAAGTGATTTTTCCTGAACGAATGTTATTGTATTTCTCTTATGTACCTTTTATAGTCTTATTTTTGTTCTTTGGAGAAATTCAATTTTAAATGTATTTACATCATGCATCGACTCGTAACGAGTTATGGTTTGGCATATTGTATAGACAATCGAAAAACTGTATTTGACCTCTGGATTTGTTTTGGTTAATTGTATCGCTATTTGCTGTCTAAATGAATAATATCTCGTAACTTTGTTTTTATTTGTAAGATAAATTATAAAGAAACCAAGGTTTCAACTTCCTCAGGCAAAGTTGACCTTACATGGATTTGGCTATTTTTTAGGTCCTTTTTGGTCATATAACTATTCAACTGTTTCGGTTCTTATACATCATTGGCTTTCACATATCCATCTTTGAGCGTTCCTGGTGAAGGTAGATCCAGAAAAGCGTTTCGGACGCATTAAATGTATAATGTGTTGTTTTCTTTTTTACAGCACTGGATCGATAACTCTGCTGGAGGGTATCATCTACTCAGTAGTCAGTACTTCAGTACTGACATGATTATGATAAACTTTTCTAAAATTGTCCGTTTATAAATTTTGAAACTCCCACAAGCAAATACCTTAGATGGATTTGTTGTTTTCGTTTATTATGAAGCATTCTCTCAATCAGGTAATTTAGGAAGATGTTAGAATCTTCGTTTATAAATTTCTGAACTGATCATGTTTACTAGTATTGATATTCATCATTTGAAACTAGTTCTAGCTGAACAACTTATCTGTCTAGCTTGAAAGACAGATTTAATTTCGAAGATAGCAACTTTGTATAGATAAAATAATCAGTAGTAACCTCTAGAGTATTGTGTGGAAGTTGTTTTGAAGAGTTATCAATAATTCCAGGCTCCTTGATATCCCTCATATTCTATAGAACCACAAATTAAGAAATAAGACTTACAATATGAAATGAGTAAACACTTGAATATGAGTAAGCATTGAATTTGTACATACCTGGTGCGCAGGGTGTGTGACCTAGAAATATTCCACTTAGACATGTGTAAAAAGAAGTGCACATATGTTCTGTATCCGGGTAGTTTCCATCTGCCAGATGAACACATTCTCTGTATGTTCCGCATGGTGGTGGTACATGAAATTCACTGGTAAAGTAAATCAATTTTAGGAAATAAAACATTGCTTTTAAATTCCGGATTTACCTTCAAAAACAAGCTTATTGAACAAATTTTGAAATTCTACCATGTAGTAGTATTTAAGGGGCTGCATAAAAAAAAACCGTAAACCCTCTCAGAATAAACGTAGTTCTTCCTCAGGCGGTTGAGACCTAATATGGTTGGGTTTTTTTATTACTAAACATATTGATAATAAGTAACATATTTAGAGAATGATCAAATAAACACTTCATGACTTGAGTTATAAATTAATGCACTACTGTAATAGGTTTGTTATTCTAGAAATACGTATTGTTAATTTAAAAAAAACCCATCAAATTCCTTTTTTCTATAATAACAAACATGTCTATCAAAGAATAGCTCCAGCGTAGCTGTGAAAATTTTCAAAGCCAAACGGAAACGTATGCTTGTCAACATGCATAAGTCTATGAGATCAATGTGTACCAAACACGAAATTAAATAAGCAATTATTAAACATAAGAACTTTAAAAAAAACTGTTATGATTGTTTATGGTTTACTAATTACAGTAAAGAAGAATTACCATTCGACAGCCAAATTATATTTGTAAGGGACAAAAGTTATAAAAACAAACTCATATCATGTGAACTTACTAATCGCATTCATTTTTGTCAGGATTAAATCTTGTATTATTTTTGCAGTTGACAATTTCTGCTGTTTCATTGACACATTTGGTGAATGCTCTACATCCTCTTTCATAAACTCCATCCTTTCTACCTGTACAGTCAACACTCAATACGCCTAGAAAAATATACAAATTGAAACTGTATGTAAAATAAAAAGGTAACAACAATCACAAAAAAATACTTCACGGTTAAACATAACACACCAACCTCTTACACCGAAATCGTCAAGCTAGATAGCCGTACAAACAAACAAAGACTAACGACTACGAACAAAACATATGGTCTAGAACACCTGACTTAGTTCGGGCACAAAATGTGGTTAAACCAGTTTTACGTAGGCACAAATCTTTGCCTTTGCCAATCTAGATCAGAAGTCGTAAAAGAAAAACAAACAATAAAGGACATGAATAGTGCACTTACAAATAGGATTACCACTACCTTGAACTAGAGATTAAATACGGCATATGATTTGTAAAGCAGGGTTAAATGTGCTCGCTTCTACAGGGAGTTAGCTAAGGAAATATAGAATTAGCCAACAGTATTTTACTGATGTTCAAATTTCATAAATCGATTTAAGACAAACCAAGGAAACAAACAAAAACTGATGGAACATGGACTCCAAAAGGAGCGATACCAGGGGCTTCGATGGGTTAATGATAAAAGAAGATGTTGTATGATTACTTATGAGACGACAATCCAGCAGAGACGTGATACCCCATTCATAGACAGTACAATATAAATCGATTAAGGTATTGAATTTGTTCGCATAATAATTTAAAAAAGATTTACAAAAACCTTTTGCTCGTTCATATACTTACAAGATGATGCTAATACAAGGAATTGTATGACAACTCTGTAATTGTTCTTTTTAATAGTGACTCTTTTCGTCTTTTGATGATAGAACTTTTTTGTCATCAAATAATAATTGTGTACATTGAAAAGCTAGTAATAACATTGTATGTTTTGTGTGAATATATCAGGCAAAGTTCTGCACCAGAAAGTAGTCACATATCAAAATCCGGATATCTTTTCCTGACTGGTTGTTTTCCCGTTTCCCTGCCTATGTGAGATTTTAAGTGACTCATGAATTAATTTAAGATATTAGTAGGACACAACTGTAAAACATTCTGCAATACTGGTTTTCGAAAGTTTCTTAGGACTAAGACATGTCCTAAGATGGTCTTAGTACATATTTTAGACCTATGTGATGTTTTTGAAAGTTTCTTAAGTGGAAATAGATTCTAAAATTATTCGTAAAGTTAAGTCATCGAAATATGTCTTAAGATGGTCTCAGGACGGTCAGACATATTTTTCCTTTAAAATAATAACGATAACAAATTTTTGTGCTACTCTCAGCCTTTTCATGCTATAGGAGAAATACCACCATTGATGTTCCCCTATAAGTCTTTGTTAAATTGACATTTTTCAAAAAAAATTGCAGAATTTATCTTTGTTTCAAATAAAGAAATACTTGGCAAGAGTAAAATGTTATCCTGTCCAGTACTACAGTGAAAATTTCACAGAACAGTTTTACATATTTATGTAAGAAATGTGAAAATAAATGAGTAATTGAAGTGTTCAAGCTGAATGAACTATCCATATAAAAGTTTAATGAGTCCATGGGGGTTTCAATAAGTCCTAACGTAAAACTTAAGTTTACGCCGCGTTCCAAAGCGGGACATAAAATGGTTCCCTTTCATTAAAAAGAATTGTTGTTACTGCTTCAAAAGACATTTCTTTTATTTATTACTGTATATTTCTGAAAGAATTACTGAGGAAACAGTTTTCTTGTATAGATGAAGAAAGGAAATGAGGAGAAAAGTCATAAAAGCTCCCCAAAACACTGAGTATCGCTTGCTCAGCCTACTAATATTTATGTTATAGCCCAATTTCATGGCAAGTTCCTCTAAAATGTGTTTTTGAGACTCAATACACTCATAATATATCATGTGTTTGCTATATTTGAGTGAAATAGCATGAAATCTAAAACAAATTAAAGTACATAAAAGGTCAAAGGTGCATGTGCAGCTTCCCATTTATGAGTAATACCACCATTGATTTTCCCCTATAAGTCTGTTAAATTGGCATTTTTCAAAAAATTGTGCAGAATTTATCTTTGTTTCAAATAAAGAAATACTTGACAAAAGTAAAGTTTTATCCTGTCCAGTACTACAGTGACAATTTGACATAACATTTCATTGCATTTAAGATAATAACCATCACTGGAAGTAAACCAATCAAATTTCCACCCCTTCTTTTCCTCTTAACAAGCTTTAGTAACCATGTCACCTGAAGTTTCCAAAGTATTGCTTTGAAACACCCAAAATATATGTTTGTGACTCAGAATTTGTTTCTGCAATGAAATGCAGGGTTAATTTCCTACAACTGTCAAATTCAAGGGAATATTTTTTTTCGACCCTTTTTCGTATGAAACCGGATGTGACGTACTATGATTTCGTGGTATTACACCTATAAAGGTGTTATTCGACTATACATGAGCATTGTATAAAAAATAAGAATTCGTATACTGTCACGTGAAAAATACTTTGCGCGTTAAATGTATTCCCATTAAACTATCATTTAATTAATAGAAATAAGAAAATGTCGTATGAGTGCCAATGAGACAACTCTCCATCCAAGTCACAATGTGTAAAATATAAACAATTATAGGTCAAAGTACGGCCTTCAATACCGAATCTTGTCTCACACCGAACAGCAAGCTATAAAGGGCCTCAAAATGACTAGTGTAAAACAATTCAAACGGGAAAACCAACGGTCTAATCTATATAAAACGAGAAACGAGAAACACTTAAGAACCACATCAACAAACGATAACTTCTGAACAACAGGTTCATGACTTAGGTCATACATTGTCTTCCATGAATTCTTCTAACGGTTCAAATCTAAGTACACGTAAATGTAATAAAAAGTTGTTAGTTTTGGTCGTGAAAGGCGCACATGGAATTATGAATTGATTATGCTGCATATTATATATGCATATGTACGACGTGCAAAAATTGTATCCTAATTTTAAAAATCCCGAGAGCCTCGATATCTTTTTAAACTTTTCCCAGTCGTATCAAATTACAACTATAGACTTTTTATATTATATTATATTATATTACTAATACCCAACAACAATCGCCCTGAACATGCATGAACTATTGTCCGATGACGTGTCTTATGATACTTTCGAAAAGCAGGTACTTGGTTTTCTAAAAAATAATCTTCGGACTAAGACATGTCATAAAATCGTCTTAGGACATATCTTTGTTTTAGTTGATGTTTGTGAAACTGTCTTAAGTTCAGATTAATACTAGAATTAAAAGTTAGGACATCTAGATACATGTCTTAAGGTGGTCTTAGGATGCATGATCATAATTGTTTTTCTTTAGAATTATAACGATAAACATTTATTTTGATACATTCAGCCTTTTCATGCTTTCAAAATGTTATTTGACTATACATTGTATTGAAGAATTTTCGAATTATAATACTTTCAACGGCAAATTATAACTAGACATTTGACAAACACCCATTAAATTATCGTACAATGCGTATGCATGTGTAACTGAATTCATCTTACGATCCAAATTAAATGTTAAACATTTAGTTATACATGTACAAGTAATAAAAAAGAGTTGTTAGTATTGATCATGAAAAGAGGACATGAAGAATTGATTACTGCGTATGTAATAATGCCGAGGTCATCGTTATCATTTTAAACCTTAATTTTCCAGATCGTATCAAATTATATCAAAATACTTCAAATATTATTTTATATTATATTATATTCGCAATATCCAACTACAAAAACTCTAATTCATGCAAATGCATATTTCCAAAAAGATTTTTCAACAGTTACAAGGAAAGCAACAAAACATTAATAATGTGTACTTCTGATAATTAAATTATTTTTCTCATAGACCTGGAAAAAATCAAGACCATAAGCATTTTAAAATTCTTCCTCCAAATTACTAGTAATGTGTATTGAAATTATATACATGTTTGAAAATATAAGTACATTAAAAAAAAACGAAAATAATATGGCAATAAGTGGCGCAAATCCAAAGCATCCAAATTACTCTGTATTTATTCAAAGAGTAATGCCAACAGTCAGAGGCTACATATGTGTCTCCTCATTTAATAATATAAACTGTACCAATTTTAATATGCGTAATATAAGACACTATTTTTCTTTTTTCAAATTTTGTCATCCTGTTCAATCTCTAAAAGTAAAAAAAAATTTACTAGAAATATGTCTTTCAAATGATATACATGTATGAACAACATATCTTTATTCAAATTAATTTAATTTAATTATGTATCTATTAAAAATGGATTGCCAACTACATTAAACTGAATGAAAATATATATAAGACACATAATGATTGAAAACAAAAATGAATTTGAAATGTTATTGGTCTACTGACTTTTTTGTATGTCAATGTAAAATACAATTTTAAACATTATCATAAAATCTGCTTATCAAAATATGACATGAAACAATAAAATATTAAGTAAGTAATTTTATATTAAACAAACCTACCATATATGGAAGAAAAAAATACACAAATGCTGAAAATACGTTTAATTTCCATAATTCTGTTACACTATGTCCAAGTTGGAACTGAGATAAGTTATAGATAAGTCTTATCATATCCATTGTTGAGTGAAATAAGTCACGACCTGAAGACAGTGTCGTCACACCAGATGATTCATATGTAATAGTACACTACAAACACTGCAAGGAGGGTATTACAGGACAGTATTTGGTTACTAATGAAATTAGATGAATAAGTCTATTTATAAAAGCATCTTTCATAGTTATTTAAATTTGTCTTTATGAATAAATGAGCAGGGCTGATATAATCAAGAAAACAAAAACCAAAATAGTTTAAAGTTTATAACACAATTTGAATAAACAAGACATTTATTGCTTGTTCACTACTATTAATGTCAAACAAATGTCATAATGGTGTTTAAGAAAAAACGCTCCTTCTTAGTTTTAAAGAAATACGTTTATTCATTTTTTTGAGCACCAGCTGTAATGGCCTGTAATCGAAGGTGTCATCAGATCTGTCCTAAGACGTATCTTAGGACGTGATTTGGGATGATCTTAGAACAGTTCTACGATATGTCTGAGAATGCACATAGAAGCTCTCTTAACCTCGGATGTCCTAACAGCTATCGTAAATGTTGGCGTAGAAGTAAATAGCAAACAAAATTGAAAGGTATCTATTGAAATCAAAATGTATTACTATTGACCACGGATTTTTATAGTATGATTAAAATCCTTGAATTAACCAATCAATAGGATATTAATGATAATAACAATAATGCAACAATAATTATTATTACACTTTCCTATAGTAACTACTAATACAATAATAAAGATATGACCTTCAAGAGAATAACCTCTTTTTCCGCGGCATATTGCGCGTAGGCAAAATAACTGTTTTGGAATATGCGCTTAGGAATAAATAACTGTTCGGGAATATCCGCCTAGCGAAAATAACTCTTTTAAAATGATTTGCACGTCAAAATAATAACTACCTAGTGACGTCATATCGTTTGTTTACGTCTGGAAACTATGGCGGCCGCCTCAACATTGGCCAAACAATAATTATATCTTTTAATTTAGTTCAGTATATTAATACAGTAATGGCCTTCATGAAAAGTTATTATCAAAATTACTATTTTTATTATTATTGTTGTTAGTAAAGTATTCCTTGTCTTTCTATCATCATTATAACATAATCATTGTTGTAAATATCTCAGTTGTGAATTATTGACAACCTTATCGAGATTTAATAAGTTTATAACATATCTTTATTTGTTAATTTTATTTTAGTAAAGTATTCCTTATCATCCTGGTATACATTCCTTGCATTGTTTTACATAAATTAAAATTATTAAGATACGTTATAAGCTACGTTAATAGAAGTATCATATTGTTAATTGATAGGGTTAATATAATGATTGTTGATTGAAACTTTAATGAAACAACACAAAACAAAAACTACATTTTCTGTAAGAATTAAACAAATTTAGTGTAAATATTTACAACTGAGAATATAATCGTTAAAAAACGATGAAATATTTTTGAGTGAGACAAAAGATATCTCCTAAGATGGGCTTAGGATATTTCCTAGTCTTGAGACTGCTTTGATAAACTGGCCCCTATTGTATTTGATAGTGACATACAACCTTAACTGTATTTCGTTTGAAATTATCTGGTTAACTCTTCTGTCTCTCCTATCATTCCATAGAAAAGAGAGTATTCAATTAAGGGGCCGGTTTCACGAAGCTATCCTAAGGCCTGTCATAAGAAATATCTTAGGCTCTTACGACTATCTTAGGACATATCTCAGACCTTGCCTCGAACTTGTCTTATGATGATCTTAGCAAAGATATCCTAAACTTGTCGCAAGTTCTTTAAATCTTTAAATATTAACATGGATTTATTGAAAATTCATGAAAATGTAGTAGGTGCCTCCCATAAATTACTAAACGTATTGATTAAAATATTCCATAACTAGATAATTTGCAAAATTAATATAAAAAATAAGTGTTATTTATATAAATAATCTACTATAATACACCAATATACATATAACAATTCTAATACAAAATGTAGAAAAAAAGAATAAAATGATGACAATTTTTTTTGTACAAGTGAGTTGAATTCAGTTTATCACAGTATCAGTTATAAGAAGGTTAAGGGATAAAATCGTGATTTTTTTTTCAAACGAATTTTTATTGTTGACAAATCAGTTTGATAACCAGTCAACCTATAACAATTTAGTTATGAGCAAGAACGGAGTCCCAATTTCACAGAATCAGAGCTTCAAACTCTTTTGGAAGCCGTGGAAACTTATGACTATCCTAAGACACCTCTCGTGTAGTTCTGTCTTTTTGATCAACTTTAAGAGATGTCCTAAGTAAGGATCACTTTGTGAAACCCACTTAGGACTAAGATTTGTCGTAAGACCATCCTAAGACAGTTTTGTGAAACCGGCCCAAGGTTTTTTTTCATATACTAATCAGTTTATTTTTGTTTTCTTTAACAGTAAATTATGTGATTGCTTTTCTTTTTCTTCTTTTAATGGTTTAATTTTTTGTCATAATAATAATAATAATAATAATAATAATAATAAGAATAACAATAATAATGGTATCCGATAAATCAAAAAATAACTTTCTTTTCGCTGGGTAATTTTACCTAAAAATTCTTAAATAGTAAAATAATACTATTTATCTAAAACTGACCACTTTCCTTTTTTTTTTATTTTACATAGCTACAATGTTTTCTTTAAAAACTGTAAATATGTTGCATATACATTATTTTATTTGTAAATTTACATTCTTATTAGGTAGTTCACATCATAAAAAGAAATAAGCAAATAAAATACAACAGTGCATGCAAGTGAACACGACAGTCATTAATTACAACCTTGTAAACCAGGAATTAGATGTAAATTAGTAGTTAATAAGATTCAGCTGTTAATTTATGTAAAACAATGCATGGAATGTACACCAGGAAGATACGGAATACTTTACTCAATAACAACATAAAATAAACAAATAAAGATACAAACGAATTACTATTTATATAAAAGTAAATCTATAAGAAAGCTATATGGTTAAAATTGAAAAATGGAATAATAATAAAAAAGAAATAACAGGGAGAAAACATAATTTGTAAAATGAAATTTTTTTTAATATGTAATAATTCAAAGATAAAATTTTGATTTATTAAATGACATAGTTCTTTGTTACAGAAAGGTTTTATGGTGTACAAAGTGATTCCAAATTTTCAGCATTTCCTGTTACGCACATACAGTAGTATCTCCGTTAGTCTCTTTAAGGCCCTGCAAGCTTATAACGTTCTAAGTAAAGTCATTTCCGTTGATAACGTCACGATGACATAACGCACCGGTTCCATCACAAGAGTGTTTATATATTTGAAATAAAGAAAAACAACAAACAAGCACAAATGTAAAAAGGTAAACGCTACCATCCTTCGTGGGACTTATCGAGACGTTGCATGTGTATTAAATTTCCGAGCCGTTACATTAACGAACTATTACACTGTTTATGTGTATCTTATCAAATAACGCTGTTCGGGACTGGTTAGCCATTCCGCTAAGTGCAAAAATTTGCATCTTAATGTTTGTAGAAACAGAAAAATGGACTAACTTGGTGTTGACTCAAAATTTCCTTCAATGAAATCTGGTGCATTAAAAATTCCCTTGAGGAAATTTGAAAAAAAAACATTTTCCTAAAAGGAAATTTCTTGTACATCACGTTTTCCCTAAGGAATTTTACAGTATTAAATTTATCCTTAGCAAATTTAAAGAACTAAAAAACATTTGAAGAAATTAACAGGAATTCTATCCATCTATTAAAGATTTTAAATTATTTTAAAGAAAATTTACAGAATCAAATTTCCTCTATGGAAATTTCTTCTGGGAAAATTAATATGTGTATAATTCCAACATGAAAATAATTATAAAAACTATTGTTTCTTTTGAATTATATAATAACATCAAAATTTCTATTATGTGCTAGATTGCTACATAAAGATTAGTTAAAAAATATTTTTTCAAAATAAGTTTGTTATAATTAACATTAACCAAGCCGTTTATATTCAATTTAAGACTGGAAACTTGCCATTGATAATTTTTCTATCAATTTTCTATCTGAAACCATTCCATTAATACGTTTTTTATCTGAAAATAATGTAATCGTAAATCTTCGTCATTCAATCTTTATTCTCCTTTGTTCCGTTTACAATGAGTATTTTTTTCTGTAAATAAATAAAACAATATAAAGATAAAACAAATATTCGTATATCAAATCTGCATATCTTTGATTTTGTACCATAAACCTTATTTGATAAAGTTATATTTGTTGTCAAGAGAAATCAAGTGATCGACAAGAGCATGAAATGCTCATCTTATAAAACTATGTCGTTTTTTATATTTGTTTTTTATCTTTTTTGCAATCAGTTAAATTTTCATTTTTGGAATTATGATTTAGGGGCATTTTTTAATTTCTTTTATTGTAAATAAGTTTCACAGTTTACAATTTCTATTCATCTATTAAAGCTTTGAGGTAATTGGCAAGCATACAAAATTAGAAAAATTAAATCTTGATTTTAGGGCAATATCTCCTTACTGAGTCAACCAATGGTTTCGGTTTTTGGCATTTTTGTAAATCTTCTATGGCTGATATTTTTTTATGCTTAGAGTTTTTACCTATAATTTATTATAGTTTACCCTTGTGTTCTTTTACTAGCTATGACAACCATGTTTTTTATTACCGTAATTTAATAAAGACACAAACTAAATACTAGACACCTTCGATAAACAGGCCCCAAGTGTTAGCAATAGCTTGCACATTGCCCGTTGTGCCAGGTAAGCTAAAAGTACTTATTTTTTTATTTTTCCCTTGAAGATTCTATAGATAACTGGTTTTTTTTTCGAAAGATGTAACAAAGGACCTTACAAAGAAGTTCTATAACTAGGATTCCGTGGTCTGTTTATCGAAAGTGTCATAGGTTCTGTCCGAAAACATATCTTTGGACCTGATTTAGGATGGACTTGGATGACGTAACCCCTATCCTAAGTTAATAGCAAAATAAAAAAAAG